GTTGCAAGGAATAAAATCCTCTGTGTGTCAATGGCCCACGTACGAAACTTGTACAGAACTGCGAACGCTCTTTGAGAGCCAATAAGAACTCAAATCGGGTAGGAGAGCCTTACGTCAGATGGCTTACTTTTTCACGGTGTTACGCAGTTCAGATACCGTAATCAGCTCCAATAGACGAAAAGAAAAGAACGTGAAAACGTCATACTTTCTAACGCAAAGCATTGAGTTACATTTCAGTACATGAGGTTTATCACGGAACAAGAAAATTGACCATTATTTCAAAAAGAATCGATACTAGGTTGTGTTTATCAGTATTTTACCGACTCAGCGAGGGATCTTGATGCTATCGGGGAATTTGCCTCTTTCAGGGAAAGGCAGAAATTATCTTAGCGTTTCTTTCTTTGAAAATCGCTCGATAGTAACCGCGAAAAACTAGATTTGCAAGTTTTCGAAATTCAAAACTGCAAATACTCTTCATCGTATATTTATGAATTAACGATGAACCTGATAAAAAATAAAAAAAAAAAACCGGCCAGAAGGATTATCATAACTTTGCCTTAGGTGAAATGAGTCTATCGATGTTTATGTATAAAGTTTTTACACCAAAGTTTTTACCCTTGTCAGCACAAGTTCGAGGAATGATATGACACAATTCTTCTATAATAGACATTGTCTTATTTCGGAAACTTAAATTGTTTCCTGGAAAAATCATGTCTTGTTTAAGATTTTTGGGAAGTTGTGACTAAGCGGAAGGCATTAGTCAATTCAGCATAATCAGAACAACTTCCTTTTCTTTCCTATCTCCTATTCAATAATTTAAATGATAGTAGGTACTTTCTGTCGTTGAAATAAGCTTCCGCTATGTGTCCGATTGCACAATTTAAGTTATAGTTGCGAATAAAATGATAAATTTCTTGCGTGACTAAAGTACGTCACGAATGCTTCAATTGTCGTAAAATTAAGCCGACTCGTGATCGTTTGTGTTCGTCTATTATTCGGGAAGTTTCGCCGAGTCATCGTATTGCTTTCGTTCCACTCTCCTAGAGTACGATGACGCGTGTGAGATTGTGAACGTGTGTGACTCGGTCCGTGGTTACTGATGCGTAGAAAAAGAAAAACATCCGCTGCGGGCGCCAGTAATTTCGAATCGTTCTCCTCGAACGCAAGTGTCGAAATAACAATTTAAAATCAACGGATCGTGTCTTACAAGAGAATTACGCAATCATAACTCTTTTAGACATATACTTAGACAAAAAGCAGTACAATTTACTAGTCTAAGGCGTAAAACAGCTGGACTGAAATTATTTAATGGATCACGGAGGTGCTTGTTTTCATAATATATCATGTGTTCATGAAGAAATAACGGACTCTTAATGGCTACTACACCCATCCTGTTTATCAAACGACAATATTAAATGGGAAACTCCATTTTTGCAAAATAATCTCTCAGGAATATTGATCACTATGCCAAATTTAAGAAAGCATAAATTACGCGCCTCTTGTACAATAAAATTTGCTTTTGATCGAAAAAAAGTGAAAACCCCAGTTCCAAAACCACAAAAAATTGAGATTTGATCTCTTGCGGAAGTTGAATGTTTGAACGCTTGCCCGTCCATTTCCGATGCCTGTTCCCAAATCACAAAATCCCATGTGTCGACTTCTCGTGTGTTCGAAGATTTTTAAAATGAAACAATGCTCCTTTGTGGATCTATCAGGGAAAAAGATTAACAACGACGCATTTTAGACTAGGGCTGTACTGTACCAGCTGTATTATTATGGCCGGTATGAATTGCTAATTCTATCAAATTCACGGCGCGACATTGTTGGTCAGAGTTCTAAAGGTTGGTCAGTGTTCATGTATAGTCAGACCTTATTTAAGAATTAAAACTGATTTTTTTAGGGCATGTTTAGTAATCAGCTTGAAGAACTTCTCTAGCTCTGTGCCATCGAAGGTCGATAACTCAACATCACTGCTAAAGGGATGTTATTTTTAGAAGTCGAATGAAGTCCGACATCAAGAAGGCATGCCGGAGCTTCGCCTGATTATAACGTTTCTTATTAACACTTTGTCGGGCATTGCGGCATATTTTGCAGGCATGTTTTGCGACATATTTTGCCGTGCTTGTTCAGACTGTTTTGCTGTCATCTTTTCCCGTTTTTATCTGCTGAATACCATCCAAATCGATAAAAATACAGTTAATGTTCATGGGTATAAGTAATATCTTCTATCCTCTTCTTAGAGTGAATTCAACCCTCGCTTAGCATCGAATCGGGCCCAAAAATTATCTATGCCCGCAAACATAAATTCTATTCAGCTTTAATGAAACAAAATTCTCAGAAATCATTGCAATTATTATTATTTTTCTCTTTTGGATGAGAAATGTTTACTATTAGAGTGAGTGTATTTTAGCTGAGTATTTTAAACATCAGTAGTATTTTGAAATCGTGAAGAAACGGTACAAGTTCGTTTGGCCATAAAAGAGGCGAAACAGGGATATGCGCAAACTTAGTCCGGGAAACGAGTGGGCCTAGAAAAGAAGATGAAATCGTCGAAAACGGTTGTATTTGAAAGATATCGCAACAAAAGCCGTGACATATCGTTTTTTGACAAACTTTAAGGTCAATTGGATTCATGATCAAAAACGTGTTATGAATATTTACAGCAAATCATGCCTGGGTGGAGTCGATTGCACCTGACTAAAATTGCGTGGTTGTCAGCTAAGTACCTCACGTTGTGTATTGGGATTAATTCCGCCTTTAAAATGCATTTAGATAAAAAATATAGCATGACACAAACTTAGAGTTATGCGAATTGATCCCGGTGATATCGTGCATAACAGCCTTGAAGGAACAAAACCAAACACGTATTCTAACTAATTATGCTGTGCCGTTAAATCAGGAGACAACAAAACAAGAGTTACTAACGAGATTTTGCGAAAGTTATGCAGAAGTAGCCACTGGCTGTTATTCAAGGTTCGCAGCGCACGATCATAAATGCAACGCGTGATTTGAATGTTTGCGCTGTCACCCGTGTTGAAATGGATTGACCTTCCTTTCAAGCTGGGTCACTAAAAATAGCTAACCTTAGTTTATAAATAACGCATACAAAAATCGCTGTGTCGCAAGAAATAAGTGGTGCGAATCAAAGCAAAGGTTAATTTATGATAACATGAATAAAGCCCACGAAAATCGTTGTTTCGTCAGAAATGAGTGATGCGAGCATTAAGAAAAGTGATGCGGACGTAGTTTATCAAAATCTGTGTATAGCTAACTGTGCATGTGAAATTAATTTTCCTGTTGGCGTTAGTTTGTGCTGAAATGTTACGCATAGCGTGAAACGTCAGCGCAGGTGAATCGCTTTATTAGTAAATCAAATGCAACTTTTTAAACGTTTGGTGATCGAAATAATTAATCTCAGAGATTAAAATGCCCATCGTCGACTTGTGTGACAAAACATCTCGAACAAGAGAATTTCGAAAATAAAATCACTTTTTCATTTTTAGTTTTTCCACTCTATCCTCACAGCTGAGAGTGATGTGTAGCATTTGCCCTTTACTATCCAAGTTTCCAACAATTTCGATGATTACTCACCAACAATTTTTTTTTTCAACCAAAAAATTTAATATAAATTCTTCCACGTCCAAAACCAATTTTGCATTTCAGAACATACGGATTGTACGATTGTTGTCGAGACAGAGAATTTAATTTCAATTTTAGATTTTTTTTCTTTTTTCTTTTGGAAATTGCATCACGTCCCCTTTCGTACGAGGTAAGCAACAACGCACGCGCATAGGGGAGCTTCTACAATACGCCAGAATATTCGTGGTGACGTCACACTACTTGCGGATGTGACTGCCCGGGTTTAGCTTTTATAAATGCAAAACATTGGAGCGGCTTTGACCTTGCAGTGGAAGATCTGCCAGTGTGTCAGGCCAATACGCTTTTCTTTTTATTTCATTGAGCTTAACGCACAACTTCCAAGATTGGGCTGAGAGAAAATTTCAGGTGAGCCTTAAAGTTACGATAGATTTTGTCGAATCACTCCGGGTTGCGTCGCAAACGTTAGAAGCCGTAAACAGCACAAGTCAATCGATGTTCGAATTTTGCCTTCTTTGCAGAAAAGATACTGCGTGAGATTCACTAGGTTCTCCTAAATTTGCACATTATCGAAAAGTGGCTTTTCTTTCCCGCTCGTCTCAACTATAGTGACCCGTGGATTGTTCCTTACGACGGTAAACCGGTTATCGTTACAAAACAGACTCAATCGTCTGGCAAGTTGCCATTGGAAAGCAAAACAAGCTTCGAGCATCAGACTTATCGGCAAGCTGTGGTTTTAAAACTCTTCAGGTTAATTTCGTTAACTGTTAAGTTTTCCTGTTTGGGAAAAATGTCTGTCTCCTGCATATTTTCCGTCTTGAATATCGAACGTACTTAGCTGTCAGCTTTCCTACTCTCTAGCTGGCTGCTTTCTGAGCTCATTTCATGTCAAACGACCTGTCTTTGATCTCAAATTTTCCACTTTACTATATCCTGTTGTAATTTTTAGAAAGAGGGGAAATGTCAGATTCACCCTTAAAATTTCCCAGATCGTGGAAGTAAACACAAATACTCCTCGGTTTTGAAAGGAAATGTCGCAGATTGTTTTCATAGAACCTCGACTATCCACTATTTGAATAGTATGTTGTCTCTCAGACACGTTGATGTGAGATCGATTGTGACATTTCCGTACACCAAACCGCCTTTGTTTCGATGGTTTTCTAAGGAAAAGTAGAAGGGCTGTCCATTAGGATTGTAATTAAACTGAATTGTGCGGTCAGTCTCACTGAAAAACGGACAAGATCAAACTTCGAATGGCGCTTTTGTTGATGCATAAGAACTTTGACGTCATTCTTTCTTTGCGTTCGATGACCCGTCTTATTGCCATGGCAACCTTACGCGTTCATCGCATCAATTACGTCTGATGACGTTATTGCTACGTCTTGCATGTGAAAAGCATGCACCGACTGGACTGGCCAAAATGTCTTTGTCAAATGAATAACGCATTTCCTTGTGAATTTTGTCGCTCAAAGGCTTTTCATTTCGCCTCTGCAGGCGCATCTCTTCGGATGCAGGGCCTAAAATGGCGACGGATCGGACTAAAAGAGCCATTAAAGTTGGATTTTACGACATAGAGAATACCATCGGCAAAGGCAACTTCGCGGTGGTGAAGTTAGCGAGGCATCGCGTAACAAAAAGCCAGGTAAGGGAATCAAAGCTGTTTTAATTCGCGTTGTAAAAGCTGATCGACAATATATATTTATTGCTCGTGTTCGATCTAGCGTGCGTGCGAATGGCGAATTCATGTCATTTTGCTTTCTCAAATTAGCAGAAAAAAATTCCACTTTCTCTCGGCTAGGTCGCCATTAAGATCATCGACAAGACTCAACTGGATGAAACCAACTTAAAGAAGGTGTACAGAGAGATAGAAATAATGAAACTTCTCAATCATCCACACATCGTTAAACTATATCAGGTAAGCCAATTGAAGGTGAATCGTTGTAGCGACCTATTTAGCAGGGCTTGAATACATTCAGAGCTTTCGTTTTTGCATTGTTTAGGTCTCATTTATGATAAATTCACCACATTCATGTAATGTTATTATCAGAAGTCAGTGTGCAAAATAAAATCTATTTTTTGTTGCTTTTTCCTTCTCTTAAGGTCATGGAAACGAAGAGCATGTTGTATTTAGTGACAGAATACGCCAGCAATGGAGAAATGTTTAGTAAGTAAGACTTGTACTAGCCGTGTCTTTAAAGACCTCTTTATGTTAATTTAGAATGGCTTGTGATTTGCAATTCTGACATGAGCGTTGATTACAGCCGTTTTTTTCTTCCTTTTCTTTTGGTTATTTATCATTTATGCTAAGTTTTCATCAGTTCAGAAGTAAATTCGAGCAATGTGAACATTCTCCGAACATGGAGATGTTTAAATTCCTGCGAAAGTCGCGGTTTGCCTTCTGCGGATTTGATCAATATACAAGTATATTCAGCAACTCTGGTATGTGTGACGTTTTAAATTATAGTGTACCATGAAACTTTATCCAATTTGACATTCGATAAATTCACGCTGCCTTGCCTTAGTTAGCCTGAACGATATTTACTTTGTGGGGTTTTTTTTATCTACGATGGCGCTTGTTTAGTGCAGTGATGCGAGAAGATACAAGTGAGTCCGTCTATAACAAAACAACCATTGATTACTCGGGCAAAAGGTCTTTTCATTGAGAAAATCCTTATAATCTCCGACGTTCTGGGCATTTCGGACGTGTTATTCAAATGCGAGAAGTAGGGTCTTCGTAACATAAATTGATACAATGATGTATGTTGTACGTCGCGAAGATGGGCTACTCAAGTGAGTTTAATGTCTCCAAGTTGTTACTTCGAATCGAGATGTATTTCAATAGCATGACCCTCTGATGTATTGAACTTTTTCATCGATAAAGTTCATGAGATTAGATTGGAACTAATAGATAATCGGTTTCGTTTTCGCAAGAATACTATAAAAACGACTCGAACATGGGAAAGGTTTTGTGCTCAGTCTTAAGATCATTTGAAAGAAATACCTGTATGACTTAGCAAGGTTTTACTGACATTTACGTGATTAAAAGATTAAAATGTTGTTTTTAAGCTCATAAAAAAACTACCAGTGATATCCCAGCTGGATATCAGTAATTGTTCGTGTATGTCTGCCAAATAAACCGATCCAGGTGTGCTGTTCCTTTCATATTATAAAACTGTTAATCGAAATTTTTGGATTTATCTCAACGAGAGGTCTTTCACTTAGAGAAACAAACATGTAATCAACTGGAAACAGAAAATTGTTTTAATGACATTTTCAACCGGCAGAATCAAATGTTATGTATAAATTGGGATGTACATTGCATCTACAGTGCAATAATTTGCAGAAACGGGGCAAATTAACCACTTATATATGAAAAAAAGAGAAATGTTGTTTCAGAAGATGTTGAATTTGGTGGTTAGCTTTGAAACACAGAGACAGTATTATGGCATTCTTTGTTCTTTCCTCTCTCACTCTGTTTGAACTGCCTTTCCTTGTCACAGTTGATGAGGAGCTCTATGGAAAATGTTGACTAATTACATTACATGTGAATAGAATTTACATGTATATGTCAGAACAAGAAAAATGAATGGCTATTATCATGCTCGATGTTTGTGCCTCACACTAACTGTATTATTCAACTACCCTGGGTAACAATTTCGCTGGCTCTTAATCTTGAAAACTAAAAGTTGCATCACTTTCGAAAACAATACCCTGCATTGTTATAGAAGCCGGATGCTGCTTTCCAATTTTGTTTGTTTTGAAAAATGGTTTCAGACAGTCTTAATTAACACCTTGGGTAGGGCAAGTAATGAACCTGGATATTTTCTTTTATAGATTACCTGTCCAATGGTGCTCTTCCTGAAAAAGAAGCACGTAGGAAGTTTGCACAGATTTTGAGTGCTGTTGAGTACTGTCACAAGAGACATGTTGTTCATCGAGACTTAAAGGTGAGTTTTCTTTTTTTTTTTAGAAATTAAAGCATTACGATAATGATAATGAACATTTTTTAACTTTCTGATTTTTACATTTACTAGTTATTTGCAAAAACAGTGACATCATAGGCAGTGTTTTTCAGAACTGCTAGCAGCTGGCATTATCAGCGGTTACTCCTTTCTTAAGCCCGACAAATAGTCTGTTTTGATATGGAATAAATTTTAACCTTTGCCAGCTACTTTGTTCATGGCTGACCATCAAGAAATCTCTGGAGAAAACTGATTTTGTGTTGTATCCAAGTTATGTCGGTCTGTTCTGTTCAACAGCGCAGCTTTTGTTCTATTGTGTTAAGGAAAAAACTGCCTTTTGAATTTGAAATGCAATCTGGTTTTATCTGAGTTGCTTATTTGAATATTTATTCTGTACCCCTCATCAGAAACACATCTGTCATCTTTATACAATCTTAGATTTCTTTTCCACAAACAGACACTTTGAACTCTAAGGCAAAACTTATCCACTCATGAAATATTACTTCTGAACTCTAAGAAACCCTTGATTGGAGAGGCCAGGTTTTAAGAACCATATCATTTATATGCAATTAGAATTTACCCAAATACATTTAAGTTGCTCTCAATTCTTCGATGTAATGCAGAACAAAACTGTGCCACAGAATGCTGTTTCTTATACAAAAAAGGCTGAAACCACTTTATTTTACTGTAGTACCACAATTTTGAATTTCTTATTTGTTTAAAAACGTGTTTTATGATGTATTTTTTTACATGTAAATGTTTACAAATCACAATATACAAGAACTTTATGTTTTGGGTGTTGTTCATAGTTTGAATTTTGCAGTTTATGCATGTTTTAGTAGTTACAGGTACACTATAAGAAAAATATTAAATGTTTACTTTTTATTTTTACTACAGGCTGAGAATCTCCTTCTCGACCAAAGCTTCAACATAAAAATAGCAGGTAAGAGAGGGGAGTTTGTTGCTGTTATGGGAAAAGCTTGTATTTAAGTCAAGTGTTTTGTATTTTTATGGTTGTTGCTCAAGGAGCCTTCAATCATGGCTGAGTGAAATATAATTGAATGCGTTGCTTCTTGGCCTGTGACCAAAGATTTTTAAATTGCTAACAATCCTCATTTCCTGACATTTGTCATGCTTTGCAAATAGACTTGGCGGAAATATACCGGTACTGCTTGAACTCTGGTCATAAAATCTCTATACACGTCACTTCCTGGAGTTCACGCAATGTTGGGATATTGTTTTTAATACACAAACTGTTTTTTATCTTAACTGTTAACAATCCCTATTTCCTGACATTTGTCATACTTTGCAAACAGACTTGGCAGAAATATACCAGTTCCGCATAAACTCTGGTCTTGACATCTCTATGCACGTCACTTCCTGGAGTTCACGCAATGTTGGGATATTATTTTTTTATCAATTTCCATTCACTCGCGCAAAAATAGCAACTTCCCTAGTCTATTAAAGTAGATAAATGATTTTCCAGTTAAAATTTCTGTTCCAAATTCGCACTGCACAATCCATAGTAACAGAAAAATCTTGACCTATATGCATACATACATTCAAATTTTAGTCCAAAAAGGAGAATGACCTGATTCTCCATATATGGTAATTTGAATTGATGCTATGGATAAGGTAGTCTTAAACTCATCGAATAAGCTATTTTGTATGGTTTTTTATGAAATTGCAGTTAATGAGGTTATAAAATTGTGCTAATGTGTTAAGAAATTGTATCTAATTGTGGTTTCTTTTGACAGACTTTGGTTTTGGTAACTACTACACACCTGGAAGTCCACTGAACACATGGTGCGGCAGCCCTCCTTATGCTGCTCCAGAAGTTTTTGAAGGGAAACTCTACCATGGGCCTCAGTTGGACATTTGGGTAGGTTTTACATGACACATTTTCTGCAGACCTGAAGTAAACTTCTCTTTTTTGCTTTTTATCCAGTGTCTTTGTGAGTTCAACCACCAATTTTCATATACTTTAGTTTTATTAACTGTATTGGTAATGTAAATCGGCCCAGGAAGGAAATCTGACGTTTCGATCCTTAGCTCTCTTTACGGAGGCCAATTAACATTATTAAATCAGTCGATAAAACCACACTATCTTGTTATACTCTTCTCCCGACGTAGCAACATACTTTCTTTAGAAACTTACCTCCTTTTTTCATTTGTTACTTTTCAGAGTTTGGGAGTTGTTTTGTATGTACTTATTTGCCGTGCTTTACCATTTGATGGTGGAACTTTGCCAGCTCTGAGAGACAGAGTACTGGAAGGAAGGTTTCGCATTCCATTCTTCATGTCCACAGGTATGAGACTGTAATTGAATAAAGTTTCGTTTTCATTTTCGATAAATTCCCAAACGCGGAAAGATAAGAGAGAGATAAGCTTATTCACGTAATACAATACAACTGCGGATTGCTCTAACTAAGAAATGACAAAAGAAAAGAAAAGAAAAGGTTAAGGAATTTCACATACCTCATTTGTTTCGTAAAAAGGATTGAATACGGAAAAAAAAACAAAAAACCGGTAACTATGAGCCCGTCGCCATTTTGAAAACTAGTAAGAGTTAGTTTGAGCCCCTGGTCTTTTTGTCAGCAGTAAACTCGTTCACTGACGGGTATACTTCGATTGTCACGAAGATTTTCGTGCATTTTCGTTGGAAGTCATTTGTTTTCGCATCTCTGAACTTAAATTGTACCTGTATTTCTTCCACAGAATGTGAGCACTTGATCCGTCACATGCTCGTCAAAGATCCTAACCAAAGATATACAGTCGAACAGATTAAAAAACACAAATGGATGCAAGCCGACCCTGCTGTGAAAACCATTTTAGCTGACAATGACGAGTTTAATTTTGAAGGAGAGAAGATACTGGACGAGTACAATGAACAAGCGCTTGAGCTTATGCAGGGGCTCGGCATCGACATAGAAAGAACGAAAAAGGTAAGCAGAAAATTAAAAACATCTGGCGTTATAAGTTCTCTTTTAATATTGATTTTCCTACTGGCCGCGTGCCACAATTCATCAGAGGAAAATAATTTCGGTATTTCTCTGAACGATATTTTCACATTAAATTTTTTAAACGATTTTAGTATCTGGGTAACTGCACATCTACCCCTCCCCTAACCTTCTTTCTTGTTGTTTTAAAGTAGTTTATCTTAATACTCAACCCTTTGATCACTTAGAGTGACTAGCATCTAATTTCTCCTTTCGGTCTCATCCCTGATTACCATATTGAGGTTATGAGAATAAAGGAGATGATCACCAATGATAAGAGCTTTAGACTGTTAAGCAAACTCTCCTTGTTAGCACTTCAAAAAACGTATAAAGAACAGTATGGAGATTATCAATTCTGATGTTAGGGTATAAAGGGTTAAGACTTTAGGAATTACTTGAGTCAATATCTTGCAGTTGCCAGTACTTTTCTCAGCTTTGAATTCGTAGTACATCTGAACGAGGAGACCAAGTGTAGCAGTATTCGTGTTGTTTGTCAAGTGCTATGTACATGTAGGCTGAATGCGTCTGTTTTCTTCGTTACCAGGCTCTGGCTGAAAACGCATATGACCACCATACAGCTATTTATTACTTATTGGTGGATCGATTACGTCAACACAGAGCCAGTTACCCTCTGCAAACCCAGTTAGAGACCAGACTCCGTCGGCCAAGTGGGATTGCGGAGGCTGCTGTTGTAAGGGGGAGTAAGAACAATGTTGTGGTAGTGCCAACTCGCGCCGCTCAACGGACCGTTCCGGCGCAACCTGCGAGACCTTATATTCCTCTGCAATACGCTATTAATGAACTTCACGAGCGCATTCCAACGCCACCTGAAATAAGGCGGGAAATCGCTACGGAGTGTGTCAAGGAACTCTCACCGCTTCGCGAACCTGGACTTAAAGCGCGCTCGATTTCACCGCGGCAAATGATAGGACCTTCATTATCGCTAGACAATAGTGTTAACAGAGAAATGGACTCAGATATTGAATCTGCGGTTATAGAAAAAATGGAAAGCGAAGACGTCGATGACAAAAGCCTTAAACCCAGGCGACATACGGTTCATTCAATGCCGAAACAACCACTGACAGTTCCGCCGTGCCACCCTCTCCTTGCCCGCGGTGCTTCGGAAGAAGTGCTTGAGGAAGGTATTATCCCAACGTTTCAAATGAAACCAGCTATTGTCGTCTCGCATTGCGGGCCTGGTAATACTTCTACGTCGTCCGCCTCACCGTTTGTTTCACATCGAGGCTCAGGACTGCATTTGCACGATCCCAGGTCGAATTTCCACGTGCCGCTCGGGAGGCGTGCGTCGGATGGGAATGCTGTGGCAATTGCTTTTCAACAAAACTTAAGGATAACGTCAACACAAAACCGAATTAAAAAACTGCAACTAGAGCATCAAAGACTTCAAGAACAATATCAAAAATCGCTATCGCCCTCCGAGCTTACAGATCAGCAGGCAGTTCACGCCGAGTACAAACAAAATTATGATCAAATGCGCGAGGAATTACAAAAACATTATGAGGAACTTATGGCAAACAACGAACAAGACAGAACTGATGGGAGAATGGAGCCTGTTGCCGAACAGAAAACTAGTTTTCAACAGGAAAAACAGGCCCCGTATTTTCAGCCTTTGCATCATCAACTTCAGCAGCTGCATATCGATGCGAGACACAACCCATTACGGCGCACACCTTCGTATAAACAAAATCCTCACAAACAGGTCTTTCGAACATCCTCCTATAAACGCGCGCAAATATGTGGCATGTTGCCCCCGTTAGAGAATGGATCGCCGACGGAGTCTCTTGAGAACACAGAACCACTTGTCCAAGCTGATACTCAGAATGTGGGGAGATATTCTATAATCTCGCTTTAAAAAGGAAACTGATTTTTTTGGCGCTTTCGAATACGTGCATTGCAGATTTTAATTCATCTCTTAAGCAAAATGCCTAAGGTATAACTGTTCTCTTGATAAGAAACAAACATTGCATTCTTATTCCTATTCAAAAACAATTCAATAAGTTCTCTTTAGAATTCTGTGAAACGATTACTGTGTCTGTTTTGCAAAAATCGTGCTGTCATGTGGACGGCCATTACATTTTCCCTTCAAAATATCCAACGCTGGTTCTCATTCGCCCAATCTTCACTCGAACTCTAAAAAATCTGCAGCATGTATTCGAACTCGTCCAAACAACTAAAGGTCTCTAATAATAAACCAAGAAAGGAAAAAAATTGATCAATAAGGGAGAGGATTAAAAAGGTTTGCGATTGAAGAAGCTCAACTCAAAATCTTGGCCAAGTTTTTGCTAGATGCTTGTTTTCAAAGTCGTTACATCGAGTTTTAATAGGAACTGAAAAAGTGTTTCGCTTTGTTTTCAACATCTTTTGAGGTCTTGTTCATGTTAGCAACAGTTAAATTAAAACCAGACTGTACTTGGCTACTGCCACTATAAAATCACCCTATAATAAATCTAACTACTAAATTTATATATATTCTTTATAAATATATTTCTAAAAAAAGTAAGAGTGTAGGTTTTTTATGGTCCTTTTCAAAGAGAGAGTAGATTTCTAAGATATATCAGAGCTCTTGTACATAGCCAGAGAAAAATACAGAAGAGAGGAAACGAAACAAGAGAAATGTAAATAAGTTCGTTTTCACGCCTCGTGGCTTTGATCTTGTGAACGCGTATACAAGCTGTAAAGGTACCTTGCGTTTTTTCCAAAAAACAAAAATTAAAGCAGAAAAGAAAATATATATACTTTATGTGCGGACTTTTTTTTAAATATAATCACCTTACATTATTATTCCATCCCTAGGGTTACGGAAAAAATCAAACAAAGAGCGCTTCGACAAAGGACTAGCGCCTGTTCGCGCAAGTTTCGGTGGCCAATTGACATTGTTAACTCAATTGATATAACTAAATCATCTTGTATAATACCCCTCCGATTCAGCGCCACAGTTTCTTAAGAAATTTTCTAACAAAGGGCAAGGGTGTCTGCTCAAAAGAGAAAATGTACGATAGCGTCAAAACTAGCGTTGAGGACGGAATCTAGTTTGTATTTGCTAGTTGCTAATAATGTCTCTTTCTAACATCTCCCTAAACTGCGGGAAGGGGAAGCCGTGGCGCAGGCCAATAGAAATGAGCGCAGCTATACACCGATCATGCAGCGTTTGTTCAGGGAAGCTGGGTGAGTGCGTCTTTTTTCCCAGAGTTCCTGCAGTTCGCTGATTAACACTGACCAGCAGGATACTGGCGTGTTAGGGAGAAGTGACAAGTATTACGTGACGCTGCTACAGCAAATTATGCCGCAAATAGTGTTGTTAACACTTAAGCACCCAAGAGTGACCAAGAAAGAATTTCTCCTTACAATATTAGTACTATTTCAACCAGATAAGTGATGAGAATAAAGAAAATTATCAATTTGGGGATAATTCTTTGATCCAATATTAAATTCTCTAAAACTAACATTATAAGAATTGTATGATGGACAGTAAGGGGAATTACAGATTTCATCTGAAAGTTAAAAGTTCAAGTATGAACGAATCAAAATGCACGCAAAGGTTAAAGGCTAGAAAACCATCTAGACGGCCGATTGATCTACAGGTGATGCCGAAATCTCAGAAGAGCTTAGCATATCTAGAAGTCATCGAAACTATTTTAGTCTATCAATCTTAGTTTATCAACCGAATGTGAGAGCCGTACTAAAGAATATTGGCCTGATTTTGTGGTAGTTTCTATGGCTAATATCCCTCAGCAGGGCTCGAATAAGCCATGTCCTAACAAGATAATTATATAAGGGGGTAAGTTTCTAAAGAAACTGTGGTGCTGCGTCGGTGGGAGAGTATAACAGGGTGATTTAGTATTATCTAATCAATTGATTACGTAAAACATTCACTCTGACGACGGGCTAACGCTCCAAACGTCAGCTTTGAAACTCTCTAAGGTGGTCAATTTACGTAATCAACTTTGTTGATAATACTAAATTACCTTGTTTATTTTTTATTTGCCGGCTTTCGCGAACAACATAAACGGCTTTATGGCCATTTCCTCGGAAACGTTCCAACCAAAGAAGAATTGATCAGAACGCTCGGATTTCCCTCAAGAGTACCTTGCCATGAAATAATATTACGTAACTACGCAGTGCACGCATGACAGCAGTTTGTTTGTTTTTACTTTTTGCCTCATTTTTGTTTTTGTTGTTCCTTTTTTGTAATATTTGTGGTTTGGTTTTTCGTTTTTGTTTTCTTTCATTTGTTTTGTCTGTGGTCTGCCTGTCGTTGTTAATTTGTTTTACGCACAACACGCGCTGGGCTCAGCCTCTAATAAGCTGCGGTATTGACGCTATATAGTAAAATTGAAATCTAATTTACTTCAACCAAGTTCAAAATTTCACCGCGGCGAGATTTTAAATATACCATTTTATAAGGACCAAAGTAATTCAGTGTAATTGCTCAGTTGACTGTTAATATACTGGTCAAGAATTACATCACAATTTCTGTTATTTCGCAACGCCAGGAAACAACGAACAGATAAATTATGCTCGTAAATTTGAGCATTGTTCTCCCGAGCGTCATCCCTGAAAACTTGGCTTTATGCCGAAAATTATGCTCACAACTTTTTCATTATGCTTAATTTGATAATTTTAAATAATAGCTTTTAAAAACCCTCAAACTTCCTCTCCCAATTCTACCATCTACAGATAAAACTTGCTGGGAATCGAATAAAAGGTTGAAGACCAAAGTTCAAAACACAACATTTTAATCGATCGAATTTCAAAAGTGCAAGCAAGTAAAGCAGACTCTCTGAAGATATTATTCAAGCTACAGAATTCGTCTCTCGTTCTACTGTAATATCATGGAAATTACGCCGACAGTACATCCTGCTCGATGCTCTGTCTATAACATTATATCCAAAATTATGCCTTCATAATTTATCTGACTACAGGTGATCACAATATTGATAAACTGTTATTTTAGAAATGGATTCCGCGTGATCTTTTGCTATTTTTGAAGAAGGAAATAAAACAAACAGTCACCGAAGAAAAGATTCCAAAACAAGTATAAGCTAAATGAATAACATCGAACCATACTTCAACTTCCTCCTAAGAATCATTCGACATTATCTAATTGTATTATGTGTACATAACGCGTGAATCAAGTACAAATATCCCATGTTAAAATAACCGAGCATTTTTTCGCGTAGGTTATTGTTTCATATGCATAGTATGTTTATTTAGAAAAATGGTTATTTTGTGCTGAGAAAAACCTGTTTGATAAGAAGTGCATATGACATAAAGCAGTTTCATCATAACAACTTCAGAGACGTTTTTAGGGTTTTTATTTCGTTGTTTGTATTTTTACGAGCCCGCAAAGTGGTGAAAATACGTCATAACTCTTAAAAATACTTAGCGATATTACTCACCAACACGTTTAATAAGGTAAATACATTCACTTTCCTTCCGGTGGACATTCGTGTAACAATTGTTAATATCTGTAATAATAGGTTGAAATTATATTATTACTATTTCTTGGAGTTGAGGGGTTTACCACAACAGTTTAGTATCTGAAAATGAAAATATCAAGATGATAACAATCTAACTAAGACTAAAATAATCTTTGTTTGTATGACGATTTTGTCGATACATAGATCTTTTTATTTCTTCCTTTAGGCCCTAACATCAGTCTGCATACTCTTCATGCTGTTCGTAATACATTTCCAATATACGATGTCGGCAAAGAGAATCTGTTGAACAGTCAAAAGCATCTCTCGAATTGGTGATCATTTCCTTATTCTTGTGACCTCAAAGCCTGGTTTGGAAGTGAGGCAGTGAGGAGAAATTAGATCCTAGTCACTCTGGTGAAAGGGTTAGGAAAAACCTCAAAAAACATTTTTTGTCTGTAGTTCCTTGAGGCTACCTCATGTTATATCTCCTTCCGATTTCGCGTGACATACCTAACCTCAAGGACCAGTTGATTATTTTTCAAATCTTAAAAGCGTTTGCCGGAGCTCTAAAAGTAAACCGAAATGATGTTTCAAGACAACGTTTATTAAAGTCAGATAAATTGACGGCCAAATGTCTAGACAAAATTAATCCCCTTTCACATTGCCGCAGGAAATAATTATTAAATGCAATTTTTGTAACCAGAACAGTCTTTTGGGTCATCTGACGTCAAACACTCATTATCTTTCACCTCCCCTGAGAAATTTGTGTTTGCAAGAGTTGTGGGAAATCAACACGCCGTCCTGAAAGGAACGGTTGCAGTTGTTTGTGACTACCACAAAGATGTCACATTGTCCTTGTTTGTTTTTCAGTCAAAATCTACACATTACAGTTCACTTCAGTCTTCAAAAGTGTTGGAAAATTGCCAAAAGGGAAGTACTTTGTAATTTCCTTTACGTAAAAAGCGCCACTTTGTGATTTCAACCAAAGCTGGAGGCTATTGGTTATTTGTGTGCAAAAGCAGTCAGTTGTGTCATGAGATACTGAACTTCTGCTTTGTAAAGGTATCTTTTTATATCAACAAAGAAGTATACATCTCGGTCTAATTTGATTTAACATATAATTCACAATATTTTGCCGATATCTGATTGGAGAAAACAACCTTATTTCATGTTATTTAACGAGCTTGATCTACGAAAACAGTGGCAATTTCTGAGGGTCAAGAAGACAGGAAGCCAGGTGAAAGATGATAACGTCCAAGAGAAGAACCCTAAAGAAAATGGGAGCTTTTTGCTTCCTTGCTCTATTCACAGCTTCCGCATTGCTAACGACAAGTAACGAAAACAAGCCTGGGGATTTCGATCTGTACCTTGAGAGCTCCCCTGGAAAGCAGATAGAGCTGACGATGGCAGAAATAGAGGAAATCAACAACAGAAATTACATGAGTGAAAGTATTTTAAAAACAGCAGAAGCAACAGAATCTGAAAGCAAAAGTACAAAAGAAGATTCACTCGTTAATATTGGACAACAAATAAACCTTTCAACAGGAATAGTAGAGAAAGAGACCAACAGAATTGACAACAATTCAGAAACCACAGAAGCAACAGAAAGACTACTTTCTCCTCAATTCGTATATCTCACACAGACTGAGAAATGTCTTCGATCAAATGTTTCTCACAGCCTGGAATTGTACAACCGTTCGAAATGTCGCTGTGATGTTCTTGTGCTAAGTTATAGAGAAGAATGTAACGAACCAAGACCGCGTCACTTCACTTACTTGTTTGACAACAGAACCACTTGGGGTACCGGCCGAAACAAGCTTTTCTTCCACGCGACAAAGAGAAACATAAATTACATCTATTACATTTTTCTTGACGACGACATTTCATTGAGGTTTAATCGCCAAGCTACACCTGCCATGAAAAAACTCAGTCCAATCCAAGTTTTCCAAAACTGGCTTCTTGATTACGCGCCTGCTGTCGGATTAGTCGATTATGAGGGCCGCAACGAAGGGAAACTCGTGCACTTAAGGAAAAGAAATGTTTGTGGAAGGCTTCAGGCCAAAAACAGAACGGTGGCCAATCCAACAATCTTTTTCGATCCTCTCTTTAATGCTATCCATGCTAAAGCAGTCGGCCACATATATCCGCTGGATACACGATATGAAAAGAAAAACTGGTGGCTAACTGACAAGTATTTAGCTTCAGCTGTGGAGATGAAATTTCGAGGACAAGCACTGCTGTACTTTCCACTCACAGTGGAAAATGGCCTCCATCGGCCTTATCCAAAATCTTTTTTGGGAACAATTATAACTTGGAAAAAATTTATCAAACGCATTCAAAAACAAGCACCTGATCACTACAAAAACCATCGTTTATTTAAGAATTTTAGAAAAAATCCTACACTTTATGTGAGGAGATCGTGGACCTACTGCATGAGTATAACTCGTCACCAAGAAATCATTCCATATGCACACTTGGAAAAACAACAGCCTGCTAAGGGTAGTCGTATACGTAGGAAAAGGTTCTATTAGGCGGAAAAAATAAAAAATGACCACATTATCTAAATTTAATATTAATTACAGGGTCAGTATATTTCATGACGTTATATACAAACCTGCTTGCGTCATTAGTGATTTGAAAGAAATTAAGTTCACAAAGCCATTGCTTTATCAAGAATATCTTTCCTTAAGGGATTATACCAAACGGAAAAACCCATCTGAACGATAAAAGGAAACAATCATAAGAGCCTGTGAAAAAGACAATAAAATAGCAACTACTAAAACCTAATTGACTGAAGGATGTTCACTAAGGTCAGATGAGTTATGCCGGCTTAATTTGGGCTTAATGCTATTTTCAGAGCATCGAGCATGATGCCGGCGTAATGACTAGACTTCTTAAAAATTCCCTTAATGTTACAGTGCAACAAGAGCCTGAGAAATGTCAACAGTGAACTTTCTTACTAGCACTTTAAGAATTTGATCCAATAAAATGTTTTATTTTGAACTTTAGTATGCCTATTTATTCTTGGCAAGTTTTACCTGCTAGCCTCGAGGGGAAGGTTAGGTTGAGAGGGTTTTAAAAGATGTTAGTTTGAATTATTGCATTGATCTCGGTGATGAAAAAAATAAGCATAATTTTCGGCATGAATCCAAGCATAGTGCTCAAGTTTTCGAGCATAATTTATCTGACACTACTGGTGGTACACGGCCATGGTCGCTGCCAATGCTGGATGTGAATGTTTTTCATCAGGCTCGCTTAAGCTGCGTAATACATAAAGTGCGCCAGAGTGAAAAATCAGCAAATTTTAATCATGATAGCTGCTGCGATTACTTAGCACAGTGAACACAGTAGTCAGGCTAAAGGCATGCGCAAATGGCTTTATGTTGGCTACCCGCGCACCAATTTCCCGCGCAAAATTTTGAATTGGTAACACATAAGAAAAAACGCTGTCATACAAATTTATTAGAATGAGTTGAACTTTTCATAGAAATTTGACATATATAAAGGAAACAAAGTTGAGGAAAAGGGAAACTTGAGACTTCATTACTTAATTTAATTACGGGATTCCTGTTGATCTGCCATTTTATTTTTCACTTTATTAAAAGAATTACATCCTCTTAAAACACCGTGACTTTCCAGCTTTATCAAACGTTATTTACCTGAATACACTATGCCTGGCCACTTCGTAAGACACCTTCAGAAGTGTGTAAATTTCCCACGAACTACTGCAAACGAATCATGGACAACGTGATCAAATAATGAGCTGTTGTGTTTGTATTGAAAACGTCCATTTTGTTTCTTGGACTCGCCACGTGACCATCTTGTTAACATTGAGGATGACGAGGAAATATTTGTGGATTAAGACATTTAGGAAGGGTTTAATATTTATAGCCAAAAGTTACATTGTTTTTCGCCGCTAGCTGGTCTAACAGTTCCGATTGACAATATTACGTTTAAAATTAATTTTTAAACTACCGATTCCATTAAAGTATTTGAAGTACGTAAAAATGCGCAAAAGACCGTGTGCAAAGAATGGCGGGATTCAGGCGTTTCCCTGACAACCACAGCTGCAAGTAAGCATTGTTATTGTTTCCTATGACAGTCCTTAATTTGCTGCATCACCCATATCCAATGTCATGTGCAGGAACAAGGGAAGCTCAGCTGGAGAGCATCCACTTAAGTTATGAAATTAGACGAACTTGATCTTTTCGTAAATAATAGCATACTAAGGAAATTCAAGAAGGATCCACAATCATTCACGAGAAAATCACAGATTTATTGAATGAATGTAACCCGTACCGTGAAAATGTATTATTTGCATATTTTGCAAAAGAAGAAGATCAGAAAAAAATTTTATATGGCTATGAAGTTTCAAATTTGGGATCAGTATCTGGGCAACTGCCCACCTTCCCCTCCCCTAAACGAACAACAGTCTATTGATAACAAGTTAGGGTTAATGTTGGGTTAGGGGAGGGGTAGGTGGGCAGTTGCCCAGATACTGATATTGATCCCAAATTTGTTGAGGTGAAAGACATTTTGGCATAAAATAAAAGCTTAAAGCCATCCTCTAACCTCTTTAGCAGAGAAAAATCCATTCTTTATCTTTATCCAAGATAGATAGTTCAAACTGAAATTTTCTGTTTTCATTAACAATGTTTATAAAGCACCTTAGATTTATTAATATTTTGTGGAGATCCATGATTTAAATTTGGAAAACATAAAAGAAAAAATGAAGAAAAAACAAAACTTAAGACAAAGAAAAGAGTAAAAGGTTTTTCAATCACGATATGTAGCCATAGCGGCGCGATTTTCCAATTTATAATTTTTCGTTAGATTACACAGTGTCAAATTTAAACAAGGCACTCTTTAGCCACTCAGACAGGTCAGACATGCCTCTTAACGAGATTCAAGCGACGTGGAAGTTTCTTTTCTTTTTCGCTACGTTAATGCTGGTTACGTTAATCTTTACCACGTGGAAATTTGACTCTGCTAAAAGCCCAAACCAGGTGAAAGCGACGAAAGAATTATTTCTGTATCTTACACAAACCGAAAGATGTCTTCGAACGAATGTCACACGAAATCTGGACTTAGGCAACCGTTCAAAATGTCGCTGTGACGTTGTTGTTTTAAGTTATAAAGCAGAGTGCCGAGAATATCGCCCAGCTCACTTCACCTACTTGTTTGACAACACAACCACTTGGGGATCCGGTCGTAACAGGCTTTTCTTCCACGCTTTAGAGAGAAACACCAATTACTTGTATTACATATTTCTTGACGATGACATCTCCCTGAAATTTAACGAAAAAGCAACTCCAGCAATGAGACAACTCAGTCCAATCCAAGCTTTCCAGCCTGCAGTTGGTGTAATGGACTATTCGAACAATCCAGCGAAATCTTTAATCCAACTAAACTGGAAGATTTGCAATAAGAACCTTGTAAATCACACTTGGGTTGCAAGTCCGATCATTTTTTTCGATCCTGTTATTAATGCCTTTCATGCAAAAGCGGTCGTCCACATATTTCCGCTGGATACACGATTTGAACAAGTTAGTTGGTGGTTCACAGATAAATATCTTTGTTCTGTCGTGGAGATAAAGTTTCGTGGGCAAGCGTTGTTGTTCTTTCCTGTAACAGTCTACAATCCTCTGCATCGCCCATACCCGAGGTCTCTTGCGGGAACAAACAAAGCCTGGAGAGAATTCATTAAAGATGTAAAAAGAGATGTCCCCGAGCGATTCGCAAATCACAGCTTACTTAGGAAATTCAAGAAGGATCCACAATTATACACGAGAAAATCACAGACTTACTGCATGAATGTAACCCGTCACCAGGAAATTGTGCCGTTTGCACACTTTGCAAGAGAGGAAGATAAAAAAAAAGCATTAAACATAGATTGACACGTGTTAAGCTTTGAATTAGTTACTCTCTGAGGACTTGGTACGAGTCATTTTGTCGTGAGATAGATGCATGGCAGTGTTTATTCATTTTTTCTAACCTCGTGATGGCTCGAGATTGAGCCGTTTGCGCACTTTGCTAAAGGAGAAGATAGAAGGAAACATGAAATAGATGTTGATATGTATAAAGTTTTAAATAAGACTCGACGGTAAAATAAAAGCTCAAAGCAACTCTTCTATAACGTCGTAGGTAGAAGAAAACACCATTCTTTATCCTTATCCAGGATGGGCACGATAGAAAAAATGAAAAGGGAAATGCGACTATCGCAATTGAAACTAAAATTTTTAGGTCAAGTTTTAAAAGCTCCCCAAACCGCGGTAACGTAGCTCTTCAAACCGTGCGGAACTTTTTCGAGCATGCTACTTTTATCGGAAAGTACCAAGAGCCTGTAAATTGGTCCTCTTTGTACGTCTATGCACATAAGACCTCGGTTAGAGAACGCCTGCCATTGATTCCTGTCGCGGTTAACAGTGAGTTAAGCAGCCCCCATGTCCTGCTACTGGGAACAAGCAAGAAAATCGGACGCACAGAGAATGGCGGAGTTAGCCGTTTCTCTGACAACCACAGCCTCTGATTACACTTGTCTTGCTTATTCCACCTTCCACAGACAGAGGACCTGACTGACCCGGAAGAACTTCACATTTCAAGACGGGTCAATTCAGCCCCTGGTATGGGATCTGAGTTAAAATTGGAGTGAACTTCACTGTATCTTAACAGAATTTATAATTATTTCTTTGGACTTACATTGTATTTTGTTTTGACTCGCCGCGAATCAGCAAATATAGTTAAGGTTATCATGGGTCAAATAAGAAAGAAATAAAAAGGCCTGAGTAAGTGTAGTGTTTCAAGTTATTAGGGGTTTTTAAAGGTTATCAAAGGTAAAATCTCAATAAGGGTCTGATAGATACCTAGGAGAATTGAATCGGTTTTTGGCTTTTGAGTAAAAAAAAAAAAGTGTGGTGGATACTGATTCCGATCACGAGATGGCGAGATGACTGATTTCCACTAATAAATTCTTCCTTGTAATCTCCCGTCCGCTTTGAGACCCGCCTCACTCATAACCACAAAAATTTTAAATTCAAAGCAAAATTTCCAAACCAATTTTGTCTACGAAATTTAATTTGCCGGCTACCTAAGGAGAAGTGCATGCCTGTATCTTGTGCTTTCTTTGTTAATACAGAACAAGGAGACATGTGCATTAATTGATTTACTCGTGAACAAACTTCGTATAAAAGTGAAGCGCACGCTTACAAGACGTTTGCCTGTTTCTACTAACTTTGAGTTCTTGTTGGCTTATAATGATGTTCACCTCAATTCTGGTTTTGGTTTCCCGAAATTCAGTTGAAAACTACGCTACTTGGTCTTATTTGGAGACCGAATTAAGGGTATGACAAAGATCTTTGGATATGGGTCCATTTTGGTGCTTTAATGTTAAAACAAAAAATTGTGGCCTTTTTGTTTACAGAGGCACCGACAGGGCGTTTCCCGGTGATTAATTAATGAGAAAGTTTTCTCACGGCTTGGGCATCTTGAATGACAGTCTTGGCTTTTCTTCTTATTTGAACGGCCCAGTAAAAGTTTCTTATTTAAAAAATTTTCGTTGTGTCAGGCATTTGGGTCAAAATCTTGCTTATATTTGGGTCAGAAATATAGGCCTGTTTTTATTATCTTTTTTTCACCTTATGAGGTCCAGGGTCAGAGCTATCCATAATTAAGGCATATCTACAAATTAGCTTGTCAAAGAACACGGTCTTCTAGCACATTTACATAGCATAGCAGAAGGCGCTGGACAAATTAGAAGGAGGTGTTTTCAAAGTAGTAGAAGTGGTAGAAGTGGAGACTTGGCAGTAGTTGTAGTAGAAGTAGAGACATTTTTGGGGGAGGGGGGATAGGGGGAGAATAGGTTAAGTTAACAAGGGCAAAAGAAATCAAATTGAAGTAATGGGGGGAGGGGGAGAGTAGGCTAAGTTAACAAGGGCAAAAAGAGATCAAACTGAAGTAATGGGGGGGAGGGGGAGAATAGGTTAAGTTGACAAGGGCAAAACAAAAGAGATCAGACTGAAGTAATGGGGGGGGAGGGGGGGAATAGGTGATGTAACAAGGGCAAAAGAGATCAAACTGGAGTCTGTTCAGACATCTAATGGGGGGGGGGGGGAGAGGAGAATAGGGCAGGCTAACAAGGGCAAAAAAGATCAAACCGAAGTAATGGGGGGGGGGGGGAGAATAGGTGAAGTTAACAAGGGCAAAACAGAAGAGATAAAACTGAAGTAATGGGGGAGGGGAGGGAGGGAATAGGTGATGTAACAAGGGCAAAAGAACCCAAACTGGAGTAATGGGGGGGAGGGGGACAATAGGTTAAGTTAACAAGGGCAAAAGAGATCAAATTGAAGTAATAGGAGGTTGAAAGGGCCAATGTGTCAACAGCTTTTGACGCTGGTTGTTGGTACCTTACGCCAAGCGTACCAGGCTCTGCAAAGTTCCTTCAAGGTTCACTGATTGAGCCATTTTCTCACAGTTTGAGTTGCTTTTCTATTTTGGAAAGAGATAGTTAATATTGTTTTCATTTACTCACGAGTTTAAAAACGTCTGTTCAGGCGTCTATTTCACGACAAAATGACTCGTACCAAGTCCTCAGAGAGTAACTAATTCAAAGCTTAACACGTGTCAATCTATGTTTAATGCTTTTTTTTTATCTTCCTCTCTTGCAAAGTGTGCAAACGGCACAATTTCCTGGTGACGGGTTACATTCATGCAGTAAGTCTGTGATTTTCTCGTGTATAATTGTGGATCCTTCTTGAATTTCCTAAGTAAGCTGTGATTTGCGAATCGCTCGGGGACATCTCTTTTTACATCTTTAATGAATTCTCTCCAGGCTTTGTTTGTTCCCGCAAGATACCTCGGGTATGGGCGATGCAGAGGATTGTAGACTGTTACAGGAAAGAACAACAACGCTTGCCCACGAAACTTTATCTCTACGACAGAACAAAGATATTTATCTGTGAACCACCAGTTAACTTGTTCAAACCGTGTATCCAGCGGAAATATGTGGACGACCGCTTTTGCATGAAAGGCATTAATAACAGGATCGAAAAAAATGATCGGACTTGCAACCCAAGTGTGGTTTACAAGGTTCTTATTGCAAATCTTCCAGTTAAGTTGGATTAAAGATTTCGCTGGATTGTTCGAATAGTCCATTACACCAACTGCAGGCTCGTAATCCAGAAGCCAGTTTTGGAAAGCTTGGATTGGACTGAGTTGTCTCATTGCTGGAGTTGCTTTTTCGTTAAATTTCAGGGAGATGTCATCGTCAAGAAATATGTAATACAAGTAATTGGTGTTTCTCTCTAAAGCGTGGAAGAAAAGCCTGTTACGGCCGGATCCCCAAGTGGTTGTGTTGTCAAACAAGTAGGTGAAGTGAGCTGGGCGATATTCTCGGCACTCTGCTTTATAACTTAAAACAACAACGTCACAGCGACATTTTGAACGGTTGCCTAAATCCAGATTTCGTGTGAGTTTCGTTCGAAGACATCTCTCGGTTTGAGTAAGATACACAAATAACTCTTGCGTTGCTTTCACTTGGTTTGGGCTTTTAGCAGAGTCAAATTTCCATGTGGCAAAGATTAATGTAGACATCACGAGGGTAGAAAAAATGAATAAACACTTCCATGCTGCTTGGATCTTGTTTAAAAGTATCATGTCTGACTTATCTGGCCTAATTGTAAGTGCCGACAGAAGAATCGTGCAGAAGATTGATAAATGGAACATGGAGCCGCCATGGTTACACAAATCGCTTAGAAAATATCTCTTTTTCATTTTCTCTCTCTGTTTTATTCATTTATTGATTTTTCTGTTTGTTTTCTACCCCTGTTATTCACGGATCTGAACAAAAATTAAATTTCCCTGCCACATTCATAAATTTAATATGAAAGGTTGAGAAGTATTGTCAGTAAAAAGGAAAACCTAAATTTGCACTCATACTTAAAACTGAATCTTACATACATTTTCAAGAAAATGATGGAGGTATATATATTTTTTTCAAGAAGATCATTTAACAACCTTAGAGATTCATGGCACCTAATTTTCAATCGAGAGGCATTTTGAATAATAAATTTGTGAAGGTAACATGGTCATGCCACGTATTGGAGTGTGGTTTTAGATTGTTGCATTTCTTTTAAACACGCGAAAGAGACGGAATTCAGACCCGTGGCAAGATGATAAGAATCGTAGTGATGAGAGAAGATCTTACTACAACTTTTTCAGACCTCCAAGGTATCCTGTGCCTAAAGATTTTCCTTTATCGAATATAGTTAAGGTCTGGGACTTTACTTACGACTAATAAACACTTAAATTATGAGCACATCATGACATGAGATTTGACCGTCAGCCGTCAAAGGGGCCTAAAATTTGACCGTCAACCGTCAAATCATCTTTTAGCTTCCCTCCGTTAAAATCATCATTTGAATTAACACCCGCTTAATATTTGATGATGGTGAAGCAGAAGCAACTATCACGCACGGAAATCTCGAGCTCATAAAAATCCAATCGTTGCGTACCTAAAATGCATGAAACATGTAAAACATGGCCAAATGGCAACCAAACAGATGCACGAAAATCAATCTAAATTCGCTCACGCAGCGTGACAAAATATTTCCACAGAAATAAAAAAAAAAAAAAAATTAAGACTATGTAAAGGTTATAGTTTATTTGCTTTATAATTTATATAGTTCCAGTGCAGAGCCTAAACTCCCACGAAGCTTTCTAATTTTAGATAATGGTTATAATCAAACTGTTTAATCGTTTGTCTCACGATGTAGTCACTTGAGTTGTAGATCGCGACGTTTCCACTGCTTACTTAGTGTGAGACTCGTTCAAAGACATCTTTCGGTTTGAGTTAGATACACAAATAATTCTTGCGTCGTTTTGTCTTCGTTGGGCTTTTGAAAGAGTCAAATTTCCACGTGTTAAAGATTAAAGTAGCCATCAGGAGGATAGAAAAAAATGAATAAACACTTCCATACTGCTTGGATCTTGTTTAAAAGTACCATGTCTGACTTATCTGGCCGAATAGTAAGTGCGACAGTAGAATCGTGCAGAAGGTTGGTAAATGGAACATGGAGTCGTCATGGTTACACAAATCGCTTGTAAAATCTTTCCTTTTTTTCTTTTGTTGTTTAATTATTGTGTTTTTTTTGTTTGTCTTTCCCCCCACTCCCCTGTTATTTACGGATCTGACTAAAAATGAAATTTCACTGCCACACTCATAAATTTTATGAGAAGTATTGTCAGTGAAAAGGAACACGTTAATTTGCACTCATGCTTAGAACTGAATTTCATTCTCACTTTTCCTCACATACATTTTCAATAAAATAATGGAGGTATATTCTTTTTTTTTTTTTTCAAGAATTCCTAGTTTGAATCAATGAAAGGGGAAACTTTTTAAGAAACAAAGAAGATCATTTAACAACCTTAGAGATTCGTGGCACCTAATTTGCATCGAGGGGCATTTTGAATAATAAATTTGTGGTTTTGGAGTGTTGCAGTTCTTATAAACACGTGAAAGAGCCGGAATTAAGACCTGGAAATATATGATGATAAGAATTGTAGTGATGAGAAAGGATCTTACTACAGTTTATTTAGACCTCCAAGGTATTGTGTCTAAAAATTTTCCTATATCGAATATATTTAAGGTCTTGGACTTACAATTAATAAAGAGTTCAATTATGAGCACATCATGAGATTTGACCGTCAGCCGTCAAAGGGCCTAAAAATTTGACTGTCAACCGTCAAAGGACCTAAAATTTGACCCTTTTAGCTACCCTCCGTCAAAATTATCATTTGAATTGACACCCGCCTAATAGTTAATGATGGTGAAAGCAGAAGCAGCTATCACGCACGGAAATCTTAAGCTCACAGAAATCCAGTTGTTACGTGAGATGCCTGAAATCTGTAAAACATGGTCTAATGGTAGCCAAACAGATGCACAGAAATCAATCTAAAAACAAGAAAGCCCTTACGCTGCGTGACAAAATATTCCAACATCTATTGCTGACATTGCTGCCATCGTCGAGTTTCAGCTGAGCTCTCATCCCACTACCGGCTACCAGTCTTAGTACAGGTAGTAGTGGGGTGAGATCTTTGCGAAAACGCAACGACATGGCCTGAAATCGCCACCAGAAACCAATAAATAAATAATAAAATAAAATAAAGCAAATGAATTCTAACCTTCATATAGTCTTGTTTGGGTTTTTTTTTTCCCTCTGGTTGCGTTTTAGCTGAGATCTCTTCCCACTACTACCTGTACTAAGATAGGCAGGCAGTAGTGGGGAGAGAACTCTGCTAAAACTCGACGATGGCAACAATGTCAACTATAGATGTAGAAATATTTTGTCGCGCAGCGTTAGCGCTTTCAATTATTATTTTTAGATTGATTTTCGTGCATCTGTTTGGCTACCATTGGGCCATGCTTTACGGATTTCAGGCATTCCACGCACGTAACAATTGGGTTTTTATAAGCTTGAGATTTCCGTGCGTGATAGTTCCTTCTGTTTTCACCATCATTAACTATTAAGCGGGTGTTAATTTAAATGATGATTTTAACGGAGGGTAGCTAAAAGATGTTTTGACGGTTGACGGTCAAATTTTTTCGATTTTGACGGTTGACGGTCAAATGTTAGGTCCTTTAACGGCTGACGGTCAAATCTCATAGTGTGCTTATAATTTAATTGTTTAGTAGTTGTATATTAAAGTCCCAGACCTTACATGCATTCGATAAATGAAAATCTTTAGAAGCATGATAGGTTAAGGTTAACAAGGGCAAAAGAGATCAAACTGAAGTCATGGGGGGAGGGGGAGAGTAGGTTAAGTTAACAAGGGCAAAAGAGATCAAACTGAAGTATTGGGGGGGGGAGAGAATAGGTTAAGTAATCATTGGGACGTGTTTTACAGATTTCAGGCATCTCACGTAACAATTGGATTTGTATGAGCTTGAGACTTCCGTGTGTGATGGTTGCTTCTTGTTCACCATCATCAACTATTAGGCGGGAGGGTAGCTAAAACATACTTTGACGGTTGACGGTCAAATCTCATGATGTGCTCATAATTGAACTGTTTGTCAGTTGTAAGTTAAAGTCCCAGACCTTAAATATATTCTATAAAGTATAATTTTTAGACGCATGATACCTTAGAGGTCTAAATACATTTTAGTAAGATCCTCTATCATCACCAAGAGTCTTATCATCTTTCCAGGTCTTAATTCCGGCTCTTTAACGTGTTTATAAGAAATGCAACAATCCACAAACCACACTCCAATACGTGGCATGATTATGTTACCTTCCCAAATTCATTATTCAAAAAACCTCTCGATGCAAATTAGGTGTCACGAATCTCTAAGATTGTTAAATGATCTTCTTTGTTTCATAAAAAGTTTCCCCCTTTATTGATCCAAGTTGGGAATTCTTGAAAAAAATATATATACCTCCATCATTTTCTTGAAAATGTATGTGAGGGAAGGTGAGAATGATATTCAGTTTAAAACATGAGTACAAATTAAGGTTTTCCTTTTTACTGGCAATACTTCCCAACCTTTCATATCAAATTTATGAATGTGTCAGGGAAATTTTATTTTCATTCAGATCCGTTAATAACAGGGGGGAGGGGGAAAGACAAACACAAAATAAATAAATAATTAAAACAAAACATAAAAAGAAAGATTTTACAAGCGATTTGTGTAACCATGACGGCTCCTTGTTCTATTTACCAATCTCTTACATGATTCTTCTGTCGGCCCTTACTATTCAGCCAGATAAGTCAGACATGATACTTTTAAACAAGATTCAACCAGCATGGAAGTGTTTATTCATTTTTTCTACCCTCGTGATGGCTACTTTAATCTTTACCACGTGGAAATTCGACTCTGCTAAAACCCCAAACCAAGTGAAAGCGACGCAAGAATTATTTCTCTATCTTACTCAAACCGAAAGATGTCTTCGAAAGAATGTCACTTTAAATCTGGATTTAGGCAACCGTTCAAAATGTCGCTGTGACGTTGTTGTTTTAAGTTATAAAGCAGAGTGCCGAGAATATCGCCCAGCTCACTTCACCTACTTGTTTGACAACACAACCACGTGGGGATCCGGTCGTAACAGGCTTTTCTTCCACGCTTTAGAGAGAAACACCAATTACGTGTATTACATATTTCTTGACGATGACATCTCCTGAAATTCAACAAAAGAGCAACTCCAGCAATGAGACAACTCAGTCCAATCCAAGCTTTCCAAAACTGGCTTCTGGATTACGAGCCTGCAGTTGGTGTAATGGACTATTCGAACAATCCAGCGAAATCTTTAATCCAACTAAACTGGAAGATTTGCAATAAGAACCTTGTAAACCACACTTCGGTTACAAGTCCGATCATATATTTCGATCCTGTTATTAATGCCTTTCATGCAAAAGCGGTCGTCCACATATTTCCGCTGGATACACGATTTGAACAAGTTAGTTGGTGGTTCACAGATAAATATCTTTGTTCTGTCGTAGAGATAAAGTTTCGTGGGCAAGCGTTGTTGTTCTTTCCTGTAACAGTCTACAATCCTCTGCATCGCCCATACCCGAGGTCTCATACGGGAACAAACAAAGCCTGGAGAGAATTCATTAAAGATGTAAAAAGAGATGTCCCTGAGCGATTTGCAAATCACAGTTTACTTAGGGAATTTAAGAAGGATCCACGATTATACACGAGAAAATCACAAACTTACTGCATGAATGTAACCCGTCACGAGGAAATTGTGCCGTTTGCACACTTTGTAAGAGAGGAAGATAAAAGGACAACATTTAACATAGATTGACACGTTTCAAGCCTTGAATTAGTTACTCTCTGAGGACTCAGTGCGAGTCATTTTGTCATGAAATAGCTTGACGCTTGAACAGACGTTTTTAAACTCGTGAGTAGAGGAAAAAAATATTAACTATTCCTTTCCAAAATAGAAAAGCAACTCAAACTGTGAGAAAATGGCTCAATCAGTGAACCTTGTAGGAACTTTGCTGAGCCTAGTACGCTTGGCGTAAGGTACCAACAACCAGCGACAAAACTGTTCACACATTGGCCCTTTCAACCCCCTTTTACTTCAATTTGATCTCTTTTGCCCTTGTTAACTTAACCTATTCTCCCCCTCCCCCCCATTACTTCAGTTTAATCTCTTTACCCTTGTTCACTTAACCTATTCTTCCCCGCCCCCCATTACTTTAGTTTGATGCTAAAAGCCCAAACGAAGAAAAAGCGTCGTAAGAATTATTTGTGTAACTCACTCAATGGCAGCCAAACATTTGATTTAGATGATCTAAAGACAACAATTAAAATCGTGCCAAAATATTTCCACTTCTATTGTTGACATATTGTTGACCGTGGTGATGAGAGAGGATCTTACTACAATTTTGTTAGACCTCCAAGGCATCATGCGTCTGAAGATTTTCATTTCTCAAATAGATTTAAGGTCTGGGACTTTAACTTACAACTAATAAACAGTTCAATTATGAGCAAATCATGAGATTTGACTGTTAACTGTCCAAGGACCTAACACTTGATCGTCAGCCGTCTAAGGGCCTAAAATTTGACCGTCAACCGTCAAAGCATGTTTTAGCTACCCTCCGTTAAAATCATCATTTGAATTAACACCCGCTTGATAGTTCATGATGGTGAAAGCAGAAGCAACTATCACGCACGGAAATCTCAAGCTCATAAAAATCCAATTGTTACGTGAGATGCCTGAAATCTTTAAAAAATGGCCCAATGGTAGCCAAACAGATGCACAAAAATCAATCTGAAATCGCTTACACAGCGTGACAAGATAATTCCAAATCTATCATATATCATTTATCGTCGAGTTTCAGCTGAACTTTCATCCCACTACCGGCTGCCTGCCTTAGTACAGGTAGTAGTGGGATGAGATCTCAACTAAAATGCAACGAAATGGCCTGAAATCGCTACCAGAGAACAATAATAACCCAAACAACACTATCTGAAAGTTGGAGGTCTTGCGTAGCTTTCTCTTTGTTTGGGCTTTTAGCAAAGTCAAATTTCCACGTGGTAGAGATTAAAGTAGCCATCACAAGGATAGAAAAAAATGAATAAACACTTCCATACTGCTTGGATCTTGTTTAAAAAGTATCATGTCTGACTTATCTGGCCGAATAGTAAGTGCCGACAATGGAATCGTGCAGAAGATTGGTAAATGAAACATCGTGCCGTCATGGTTACACAAATCACTTGTGAAATCATTTTTTTTTTTTTGTTGTTTTATTTATCTATGTTTTTGTTTGTCTGCCCCTCTTTTATTTACGGATCTGAATTAAAAATGAAATTACACTGCCACATTCATAAATTTGACATGAAAGGATGAGAAGTACTGTCAGTAAAAAGGAAAACGTTAATTTGGACTTATGCTGAAAACTGAATTTCATTCTCACCTTCCTCACATACATTTCCAAGAAAATGATGGAGGTATATTCTTTTTTTTTTAAGAATTCCTAATTTAGATCAGAAAAAGGGGAAACTTTTTAAGAAACAAAAAAGATCATTTAACAACCTTAGAGATTCATGGCACCTAATTTGCGTCGAGAGGCATTTTGAATAATCAATTTGTGAAGGTAACATAATCATGCCACGTATTGGAGTGTGGTTTTAGATTGTTGCATTTCTTATAAACACGTTAAAGAGCCGGAATTAAGACCTGGAAAGATGATAAGAATCGTGGGGATGAGAGAGGATCTCACTACAATTATTTTAGACCTTCAAGGCATCATGCGTCTAAAGATGTTCGTTTATTGAATATATTTAAGGTCTGGGACTTTAACTTACAACTACGAAGTGATTAAATTATGAGCACATCGATATTATGAGATTTGACCGTCAACCGTCAAAATCGAAAAAAAATTGACTGTCCACTGTCAAAGCATCTTATAGCAATCCTCCGTCAGAATCATCATTTGAATTAACACCCACTTAATAGTTGATGATGGCAAAAGCACAAGCAAACTAACTATCACGCACGGAAATCTCAAGCTTATAAAAACCCAATTGTTACGTACGTGAGATGCCTTAAATCTGTAAAACATGACCAAATGGTAGCCAAATAGATGCACGAAAATAATCTAAAAACAAGAATTGAAAGCGCTTACGCTGCGTGACAAAATATTTCCACATGTATTGTTAACATTGTTGTCATCGTCGAGTTTCAGCTGAGCTCTCTCCTCACTGCTGCCTGCCTGTTTTAATACAGGTAGTAGTGGGATGAGATCTCAGCTAAAACGCAACGAAATGGCCTGAAATCGCTACCAGAGAAGCAAAATAACCCAAAAAACTCGATGTAGTCACTTGAGATGTAGATCGCGACGTTTCGACTGCTTACTGCTAGTCTTCATCAGGCGATGAGGTCGGCAGTTCACGTGTTACCATTTGTATCCCGGCGAGTAAGCGATTGGTGGAATTCGATCCCCATTGTTCCGGTGAGTTTTGGTTTTCCGAACTCTTTAACCTCTCTACGATATTATATTATGGTCGTAGCGAATACGTAGAACCCCGAAAGCTAAGACCTGAGACCCGAAAGCGAAGACCCGAAAATTAAACGAAGACTCGCAAATCAAACGAAGACTCCTTCGAGAAGCTTGCGTCACGCTTTATGGCTTCACGGAAAAAAGCCAGTTTTAAAAACGGTTGACAACCTCTCCGTTCGCAACGTGATCATTTATCAGTTGAACAAAAGCGAAATTGCCGATAATTACATCAAACGTTGAATCGGAGTTCGGTTTCTTTTCTTTTCCTATTTGTTGCTTTCTTAATTTATTTTCGAAAAACTAGTGCTCTTCCAAATTTCCCCAGTTGTCCTTGTGCTGAAAAAAACAGAGCTTGCTTCGGGTGTTCGATTTCGTGTCTAAGGTCTTCGGTCTCAGTTTCGGGGTTCTTGGATTGGGAATTATTTTAAGTTAAGTATAGGACATATATGTTGTGGGGATAATAATTCCCCATACATGACGGATTTACTCCAAAGCAGCTTTTTCCTTGCGCGTCTGCTCCTGGCCAGCGGATGGGTTTCGTTTCCAGTTTACGAGATGATGCACGGTCAAGATGGCGGTTGTTGTGGGCACTTGGCCATTTAGCTTAGAAGCGGTGAAATTGATCTCTAGAAAGCTACGAGAAGGGAACGGATGTATTGATGCACTGGAAAGTGGAATCAATTGTAATTTGGTTGCAAACTTTTTTGCAAGTTTTTTGTCATGCTGCAGAAAATATCAATTATTTTAACGTAGTAATCTAGTTGCGCTCACAAGGAATTTTTTTTTTCAGTGATTGAAGACGATCCTGACACAGGTCTCTATTTTGTTGGAAGAGGAGGATTACCTAACTCTAAGGGTATTTTGGAGTGTGATGCGGCAGTCATGGATGGAGAAACGTGTCGTTTTGGAGCAGTTGCTGCTTTGCAAGGGTATTAGCACTAGTTTTCCCCAGGATTGGGGAAGGGGGGGAGGGGTTATTGACATTTTCAGGCTTTGGAGAGTCAATTTTCTCATCCTTTTTCCCGCTTCTTATTCCCCATTGATAAGTACATGAAAGGTTTATAATTACCTCCGGGCAATCATTTACTCATTCACTCCCAAGACCTCATAAGTAATTCTCTTTGATGTCTGCCGTACAATTCTTGTGATGTTAGTTTGGAGAATTTGGCATTGGATATTACTTTACTTTCATCACTTTTCTACTTGTTATTGTATTGAGTGAGGTCAAATTCGTGTTGGTCCCTTTAAAGGGTTAAAGAATGATGATTGTTGGCAGGTGATATCAACTGATCGTAATCAGCAAAGCCATCTTTATTAAATGTTTTGTTTCCTGATGCCTTTCTTTTGTTAAACATTCTATCTGGAAATTTTTTCTCTTTTATTTCTATGCTTTTTTCAAAGAAAGTTGGTTGGTCAGGAAATGGAAAAGAAAACATTTTTGAGGACAGTTTAACTGACAATTAATCTCCACTTAACCTTTTGATTAATTTTCTTTAGAGTTGCAACTGCTTTCTCCGTTGCAAGATGTGTGATGGAAAAGTCACCTCATAGTATGCTTGTGGGAAGCGGTGCACAGGAGTTTGCTCAGAGTAATGGGTTCCCTGTGGAATCAAATTCAGCTTTACAGACACAGCAGTCAAGAGAAGCATTTCAGGTGTGCCAAACTTTTGAAATTTTCAACCCTTAAACCACAAAGACTGACCAGCATCTTTTTTCTCGTTACAATGTCATCCCTGAATCAAACTTTAAGGTCATGAGAACATAGGGATTGATCATCAATTAAAGAAGCTATTGATTGTTAAACAAATTCTCCTTGTCTGCAACTTAAGAAATGTAAAGAGAATAATGTGGGGAATATACATACTGATGTCAGGGTGTAAAGTGTTAAGGAAGGAGATTTTGTATTGCAGTAGACATTTCCCTAGTAACAGAAAAATATTTAATCCTTCAACTCCCAGAAGTGATGCATATAACCTCTATCTGACTGTATATACCTACAATATCAATACATAATCCAACCTACAGGTAATACTAATACCCATACTTGTAAGGTAGAGGTTTTTATCTTGGTTTAACTTGGTTTAACACCAAGTTCTTGTAAATGAATTGTGAAGAAATATATGTAACTTGAGGGGAGAATTCACATTCAGATCTTGGGAGTTAAAGGGTTAAACAGTTGATCTGTATTGTTTTTTCCTGCCCCTCAAGTGTTGATAAGTTATTACAAATAGATGTAGCTGGCTAAACCCTCCTGTATAATTTAGTAAATTGCAGTTTACAATCACAGGAGAGCTGGGTTAGGATTCTCAAATGATGATTTTGCCTTGAATCGCAGACTCTACAGTCAACTGTCACTCAGTAGAATGAGTAAGCTATGCTGACACAGGCAACTATGAATCCTGGTTTAGCTTTGTCACTCCCAAGATCTCATTAGTAATTCTCCTTACATTCTGCCATGTAATTCTTTGTTTGTTAGTAGGGAGAATTTGGTATTTTATTAACTTATATGATATAAACCCCTAATTGACAATTTCTTTGTTCTTATCACTTGCCTGTTTGATAGTGTATTGATATTGTAAGGAGAAATTCAGTCTTTATCATACATGGGAGTTACAGTGTGTTAAGCAGTTTTTCCTTAGTCATTCTAAGCCTTACCAATGTGCTGAAAATAATAATCCTTGAAAACTTATGATTTCCATCAACATTTGTCTATCCTTAGTAGAAATTTCTTGAGAAGTCAGGTGAAGAAGAAGGAGGCCATGATACCATTGGTAAGGAGTTGCAGCTTTTGATTAAGGTTTTGAGTAATTCTTCTTTTGATTAAATGGCACATTTTATTTCTTTTGTTGATTTGTTTAGGTTTTTCCCTGCCCCCTTTTTGTTAAATCTCACAGTGCTTGAATTCAGTTTTATTTCTAGACAACGTAGTATGCTTTAGTACCACTTTTTAGTGGTTTCTAGTCCTTGCTCCACTGGTTTTTCTCCACATTCTCTGGTTTCCCCCCCCTCCCCTCCCCTTTTTTTTTTACAAAACTGCAATCATGTAACACTCCAAATTACAGTTCACCCTTGTAACAGTGGACATAAAAAGTTGATTTTCATTCAGTGGCTGTGTCATTTTGTTTGTTTTTGTGAGGAAGATATTTGTTAGATCTGTAAGAAATTTGTGGAAACTTGAGCTATGTGCTGATCAATGCCTGTTAATAGCAATGTTTTTTTTCTTCGAAAGGCATTTTGGTTATGGACTCAAGGAGCCATCTTGTTGCAGGTAACTTTGTAACATGCAGTGAAATAGTAGAATGTGAATTATTTTAAAGTCAATATCAAACTTATTTGTACACTGTATTTTGGAAAAGTTGATTATGTAATTACTGGAAAAAGTTTTGCTGATCTGAAATACAGTTTTTAAGTGTTTATTATGATATTTTTAAAATGTTCAAGTGCATTTTATTTCCACAGGTGTTTCTTCAAGTGGAATTGCCTTCAAACACCCAGGCAGGGTTGGAGATTCACCTCTCCCAGGGTCAGGATTATATGCTGATAACGAGGTGAGTAAATTGTGAGCATTCTACAGTGAAACAAATTGTAGCAGTTAAAAAAAGTGGTAGCATGAAACTGGAATATGTTTTCAACTTGTTGTGCATGCTGGCTTCTTATATCTGAATATGCATATCTTCTGCTGGTTGAGATGAATATTCCAAAGTTTTCTTTTTCTATTTTTCAGATCGGAGCAGCAGCAGGTATGTTTTGAGATGGTCAGGACACACCTTTTGCTTGAAGGTGTTTCCAATCTGCCTATAAGTCCTGTAAAATTAAATGGAGCAGTATTGCTTCAAATGAAGTGAAGACGCAGATTAGAGACTTCTACATGTAACGGTCTTAATTTGATTTGCAGCTACTGGTGATGGCGACAAAATGATGAGATTCTGTCCTGCTTTTCATGTTGTTCAACTAATGAGGCAGGCAAGTAGATTTGTATTGTCCAATATAGAAATTGAAGTAAGTAGTAATCCAAAACCAATATGGCCTGGAACTGTTTTACTTGACAAAAAACATCCTGATTGGTTAGCTTGTTATCCACAACAGGGAGAGTTTTTAGTACTAAGGCTAGTGGCACTGTGCAAATCAACAATTACAACTTCAGAGCTCTATGGAATAAATAGAGACCCATGGCTATATAGTGAATTGTTATTTACAAATGCATCATTGGAATACTTGACCTTGGGACCTCTGGGTTGTGAGCCAGGTACTCCCAACTCTTAGCTGTGCTCAGATGCCTCTTCCAGTACACAAAGGGTGTGAATTGAACTATTCCTAAAAAAACCAGAATCTTGCCAATGTCAAATGCCCTCTACTAATTTTGTCACCACTCACAATGAGTCTTGAAATCTCCTGTTCATGACTGCAGTTAATTAATTTTAGCCTTAAAGTCTCATATCTTTTCAAAATTCTTTCATGAACTTTATCCAATTACGCACATCAACTTTGCATGATGAGGTTGATTCCCAATAGTGTCACCATTGAAAAAAGTAAAGAGCAGTCTGTGATCCAACACAATGAATGTGAATACAAGAAATCTAAGACTTGTAACTATAACTAGATTAATAACTTCACCTAATTAAGCATTCTTTTCATATCATAATAAATTTTACATTCTTTAACACTTAAACTCCCAGAGGTGATTAACATGTAACTTCTCTATATAATATCCATGCATTATCCAGCAAGCAGGTAACGAGAATACCTAACCTCATCAGTTAAAAGTTTTTATCTTGATCTACCACCAAATTCTTGGTACTAATTTACAAGGAAATGTGTGACAAATATAGGGAGGGTTAAGAATCAGATCTTGGGAGTTAAGGGAATAATCTTTCCCTTTCCCCAGCTAAGTGAATCACAATTAGCACTTTATTTCAACCAGGGCCATTCTCCACAAGAATCTTGTGAGTTAGTGATCAAAGAAGCCCAGCAAAAAGCAAGAACAGCTACTAAACCATTTGAAATGGCCTTGATTGCTATCAACAAAAAGGTAATGCAGTGAAAAGTTTTGTTACTGTTTGATTATTTGTAATTAACAATAAAACACAAAATCTGAGCTAAACCATACTTTAACCTCAAGGTCAACGTTTGGCAGGGAATGAGGTTTTCTAGCAGAAATGAACTGTTAGCTTGTGAGCAGACCCTCATTTTTAGTGCTTTGGCATAGGCATTTCTTCACCTGCAGAAAGATGTATGAGGCCTCGAGGAAGGCTTGTGGCCAACAGGTCTGCAAGGGGTCTAGCACTGATACTGAGTATTATTAGAGCCAGATCCCAGGCAAACTTCTGCGACTTGCCTCAAATCTTTCTGCATGCTCAAATTAAACACTACTCCTGCAGCACTTATGATTTTTGGGCACAATAAATCAAAGAGTACAAGGAATTTGTCTACCTGGATCCAGTTGTTCGAAGCCTCATCTAAGCACAAACCTAGGTTTAAATTTTAATCTAGGTTTCTTATTCCTTTGCTCCAAAGCCTTTTTCGGATAATTTTCTTTATTCTTTTCAGGGCATCCAATCATCAAATTGTATACATAAGTAGCACTACTGAATTTTCTTTTAAAGCTTTTAAATCTGAATTCAGATTCCACAGTAACCCCGGGTTATCTTAACCCAGCTTTGAAAAACCTGGCCGTGAATTATTCTTGGACGTGTACATTTCTTTTTTTTTTACTTTTTTTTTGTATCTCAAGGGTGATTTTGGAGCGGCTGGCACTGTGACATCATGTAAAGATGAAAGACATAATACCTTGTACACAGGGTTCCCATTTGTAGTATGGACTGAAGAAATGGGTGAACCTGAAATCAGAGTCCGACCTCCTCTTTGCTTCTAGTCAAGGTCCATATCACTAGTTGGAAACATAAGCATCCAGGGAGTGTGGCGATTTAAGAAATGCGACATATAATTGCGAATTTTGCTGTAAGCCTTTTCCCTGCTATAGCAGTGAACAGTCTTGAAAAACTCTCCCAGTGTCTTGACTCTACCAGAGCCTATTCATTTGCCAAGAGGAGAATATTCTTATCAATCTCCCCCAAGCGTTGCGGCTCTAAAAGAGCCTGGTCCCCGGTCAGGAGAAGAATAGTCTCGTCAGTCTCCCCCAAGTGTCGCAGCACTTGTATGAACATTTTAGGACAATTATCGGTAGGCATCATCAATTAAATAGAAACTTCACATGGCGACTTAGCCTTGTCACAAGAGTGACAAGGCTACGACGCATCCACTCAAGTATTTTCCAGCCAAAGAAGGAAAAGTGCTTCAAAGTACGTCGCCAATCGGAGAGGCAGTGTGATTTTTGGTAAAGGCGGTGTTCATCACCCGCCTGGCGTTAACGAATCTGCTCATCTCTGCATTTACAGGAACAGCATTTCTTCTTTTCTCTAACAACACGACCCTCCTCTGGAAAGCACGTTCGCCATAGTTCATATTCAAATAATACTCGAACCTCGAACTCCAAAGCAAATTTCACGAATGCGCGAAGGCACACTTGTAAAACCTGTTTGTAAAGCCGGTTGGTGCACGGGCTCGATGAAAAGTTAAAGCGCCCCCAGGGAAGAAGAAAACTGGGGCACATCGTAAAGCCTGTAGGTGCACGCGCTTTCTTGTAACTATTTACAGTCTCTTTTTTTCGCGACTTTTTTTACGGTCCCTTTTTTTCGCGACTGTTTTCACATTCCCTTTTTTTTCGTGACTGTTTTTACAATTTTTTTCCCGACTGTTTTAAGTCCCTTTTTTTTGCGACTGTTTTTGTCGCGACTTTTTTTCGGCGTGAATTGGCCCAGCCTTGCAGTGGAAACAACCGTGTTAAATAGCTTATGCACAAGATAAAAATCGAAGAAAAGATCGACCAAAACATTTCCTCTAAAAACTCAAGTGCTAATGTAAACGCGAGGTCGACGCTTAACTGCAGGTTTTATTAAATGGCCCACGAAAAAAATATATGGTTTGAAACGATAGGAAAATGTATTATTGTGAAATATAAGCTTAAACTTACTTTCATTTTCACAAACTGATTATTAAGCTATGAACGTTCAGCAGCTCGTTAAGAACGGTTCATCAGAAACAATTAACTTACTGACATTGTGACAAGATGATTGAGGTATAAATTTATCCGCTAACAAGCTGAAATAGGCAAACACACCAAAAAAGATTCTTACCAGAATAAGGTTCGCCGAGTCTTGTAGACAAGGCTACAGAAATAATTTTTCCCTTTGTTGTACGTCGAGTGGACGGCGCGGTGTACACCTCGTTCTTGCTAATTTCGCGCTAAATTCGATCTGAATGACGTAAGGCTTCAGACGTAAGACCCCACACGAACTGTTCCATTTCAATTATGGCGGTTACGACGATCAACCAATTACTGTAATACAAATTAAACCCTTTCGTTTTGTACTTAACCATTTGACGTCATGCTAAACCATACAGATGCGATACTTAACCATTCCAGTGCCATTTCGCATTACTCTGAACCGTTTGTGTCAAGTCATTGAACCAGAGTGAAGCTAGTTGGACCGTTTGGCATGACAATTCACCACAACGCGACGGCGTTCTCGACCCAGTTTCTTATCGATATTTTTGCTGCGCGCGCCGTTCTGAAATGACGTTCCCGTCCTCTTGCTAAACCGCTCTAATGAATGTCACAGCACGCTGCTCCATGGAAGACTTGACTGTCATTTTCGACACTGAACCATTTCAGTAAACATTTGGCCACTCGCGTTTTTATCGAATGGGCTCCTGGTTTAACAAGAGTGGCTAGACAGTTTCTGAATTGTATAAACCACTTTTAGTTTGAACATTTCATTTCCCCAAAGGCTACTTGTCCATTTGTATTATAAATAAATCTTTTAAAATAAGATAAATCGTTCTCCTAAAGACAATTAAACCACTTCTTAAACCACTTTTTTCGGACGTAAAAAGACGGAAACATATAAGTGTCCCAGTCATTAATTGTCCATTTGTATTTCAAATCTGTTGTAAATCTCTTAAAATAATATAAACCGTTCTCATTAAGACAATCAGACCACTTCTGTTTATTTCAAACAATTAATTTTAAGTTGTCAACTTAGTTGATAACACAAAATTACCCTTTAATCTCATTAGTTACGAACATAATAAAGACTGACCAATCTGTAATTTTTCAGTCCGTCTGCCGGACGTAAAAAGACAAGAACACTTGAGCGTCCTAACAGTCGTTAACTGTCCATTCGTATTTTTAATAAATTTCTTAAAATAAGATAAACCGATTCAAATCTGATTATGTTTTGTAGGGTAAGCATCTGTGTACTTTAGTCAGGAAAAATTATTAGCATTGCATGCCTCTGGATGTGACCTGTATCATCTGATAGATACTACCTTTTGACTAATAATTTTAACAGGCATTTCTTAACAACCTCTAAAACATACTGACAGTGAAAAGAACCTCAGACAGAGCCACCAAACTTTCGAAGAACTCTTAGAGAAGTCCTCTCTTACATCATGTAGAAAAGAGAAACCACTTCGAAAAACATTCGTAACGCCTAAGCCATGTAGCGTGTTTATTATTTTTTTTTTAACTGAATGGAAAGCTTTTTCTAAGTAGATCTACACGCTTCATGGCCATGAAAAATAAACTAAGTAGATAGGGATGATAAAGCCTGCATAACTAACAGTTTTGTGGCAGTTTTGGGTAACAGAACTGCGCGAATGAGCGGTGAAGTCACAAGGGGAACGTGAAAAAATAAATTACTGGTCGGCCGCATAAATCTTCTTTGACCGACTAAAACTTTCCAGTTACGCGAGCTATAGACTTGATTTTCAGAAGTCTTTGGATTTCAAGAAGTCATCATTTCAAATCTTGCTCTTTTCCAAACCAAACTCGGTGATGAATTGGGACAGTTCGCTTTCCAACCGACTTGCATCGTTCCTAAGGACAGAAAGCGAGCTCACTTAGAACTTCTGGTGCTGCACTCTCCCCATGCTTCTGTTTACAAACGATACTTAGGATGACGAGGTTGTCTGTGAAGGGGGGTAGAGGCTAATCCCCCAATCCCCACAATCCCCTTTCCCTTGATAAAAAAAATATTTCCTAAGATGAAATGGTGGTCTATGAAGGGGCAAGGGGTAATTCTCACTCCTTCCCTTCCCTTCCCTCCCAACCCCCTCCTTTCATTTTCACAACATCCTTTTTTGGGAGTACTAGTCTAAGAAATCGTGGATAATCCCTTATCCATGCCACCTTGTTCCCTTCAGCGAGAGAGAATGACAACCCAATGTGAAGACGGAGGGTAATGATACATTTGAGTTCAGAAGAAAAGAATTTTTCTCCACACCACCCCCATTTCACTATTATTTTTTTTTCTCCTTCCTTCCAGCTGTTGTCATTAATTAATTGCCGATATGTAACACAGAATTACCTTAATGCTATCGATTTCTTTTCGATTTTCTCAAGTTTTGTTATTTCTTGATCCAGTTCGACGATGTTTTTTCCCAAATTTTCCATTTTTCTCAGAACCGGAAACTCAAGCTTCGCGAAGGTTGACGTCAGTTCTCTGAAATAAAATTAAGTGAAATGTTTCTTTATCTGAAGTACACAATAACCAGTTTTCAAAATAATCGAGGATTTGACATTATGTATCTTACCGCTAAGCCGCATATCATGAACTAGAGGAATTAATATACAGTAATCCTCATAACAAGATCAAAATAGCAAACAAGTATTCAACTCGCGATGTTCAGTTAGACCAAAGACAATTGAGGTGTAAAAGTTTCTTTGCAGAATCAATCAGTTGTCAGGCTGCACAGAGCATTGAATTAACACTTTTAATATCAAATCGCATCGCTTTCTTGGCATAGAGATAATATTATGGCAGAGGTGAAGACACTTAAGTGCCGCTCTCGCTAAAAGTAGTCCTCTAGACTTTCCGTCAAAAACAAGTTTTCCTTTATTTTTTGCGCACGAAAAGGGTTTAGGACACATGTTTCAAAAATGGTTTAGTTGTTCTCCAATTCTCTTCTTTGGGGTCGCCAACAGCCAAAAACGATTTTTGGCCAGACCACCCGTGTGGACAGCGATCGAATTGGAGAACAACTTAACTATTTTTGAAATATCTGTCCTAAACCATTTTCATGGGCAAAAAAAATAAGAGAAAACTTTTTTCCGAAGTGAAGTTGAGAGGACCGCTCTTAGCGAGAGCGGTAATTAAGGCTTTGCATGCTTAGAATAGCGTACCGAATGGGTGTAAAATCAAACAGCCACAGACGATTCTAGAATTGTTAAGTTACCAACCTGGTTACATCCAATCAACACTTCTCGCCTTTCACCATATGGCACCGTTTCAACATTCATTTTTAAGGCAAGTGAAGTTACCCTCTGCTCTGAGCTAGAGAGCTTGAGTTTAAACATGTTCATGATAACATTTTGGCAAATACGACAGTTACTTGAGCAAAAAGGTATCAATGGGAGGAATAACTTCACTTTTGGCTTAAAATGGGGCTGTTACGCGGCAGAAATCAATTGAGGAGCAAATCAATGTTTGGCACCAAGCGTAAAGCGCGGGAAAATCCGCGTCAGTTTTAGTATTTGAAACGTGAGTGGTCAAAAGCACGACACCTGGTCTGATTGGCAAGATACCGAGTGTAAACCGTGAGAAAATTCGCGACTCCTGAACGATATGCGATATAATTGGTCAACAAAATGACACATTATCTGATTAGCCAGACCACGAGGCACAAATTGAAATAAAAACTAACCACACGGCTTTGTGGGTAAAAGAAAATCTGAGAAACAAACACATCATAGACGCTTCAAAAATCAAATGGCAGCCAAACTTACTGTCGCACTTGTCCACTACACTTGGCGCTCATGACGCTGACTTCTGACTGAAGCTTTCCCGAAGCGTAATCCGCAAACTGTCGTTTGAAAGATTCTTCTTCACCACCATAGGTCCAACGTACCCTCTCAAATACATACACTCCACCGTATAACCCACCACACAAAGCCGTGAACCGCCCCCCTACAGTCTTCCAAGTCTGCAATTGGAGAAACACGAATTAAAATTGACGCTTCGTATAGGCATACATACGTCTGTAATGTTACGTGGAAATTTAAATCACATTTTTGAGATGCGATTTGTCTGTACGGCGATCGTATAAGCATGTGCGAAAGTTGTAATGACTGAGTAAAGCGCTTTGAGGCTGTCAAATACAAGTTGTCTCACGAGTTACCAACAACCATACAAGACAATAAGTTATGGTGTTTCAAAAGCATTTTCTTTCGGTAAAGCTCAAAACGTTCGGTATATCAACACGATACCAGTACTTGAAAAAGCTTAGTGTAAGAAAAGTCCCTCACTTTCCTTTCCCCTGCTTTTGTTTCCTCTAGCAGATTCCTATAATCGTTTCGATTCTCTTTCGCTTGATTTGCAGGATAGCGGTTGTTTCTTATGTTTTAATTTGAAATTTTACGCGGGAAATTGAGGCACGACCGGCAAGAATCGATCCCCTTGCGCATGCCCAACGTTTGACCGCTATGTTTTATGGTTGAGGTTCTCTAAATCAATAAAATGTTTTAACCCTTACCAGTCCTCCAACTATGACTACTAGTGTAGCTGTGAGTGTCGTTGGTGAAGTTAGCGCTTGCAGCAGAGGGGCATTTTGTTGCGCATGTCCGGTAAATTTTAGTTTGATACGAGAAACCGCTGGTATGCGCCTGCGTCGGTTTCCCTTTCGAGAATCACGAAAGAAAAGAAGCAGTAAAATACGTCGGAAAAAACAATGGTTCGAGTATTTGAGACAACCTTTCTTCTCATTTTTTCTTCTGTAACGTAGATGGAAGCGGCAAATCCTTGAAATTATTGTGTGATGTGTGGAAGGAAGTTATTTTCAGAATGCAAAAGATTGTTCGAGTCTTGTCTCGTGATTGTCTGGGCGATCGATGAAGATGATGTTATTTTTGAAGGATGCAAGTGGCCTGTCGAAGAGTACAAAAGAATTGGATAGTATACTTTTATCGTGTCATTGCTATCTCAAGTTATAGGTGATCATTTGAAGTACTCGCCTTTCTGTAAGCGTTTTTTAGAGCTTCAACTATACTGCTAGTGCAGTGTACCTCTAATTTTGGCAAAAATGTAAAGTTTACAGAGGTTTATGTTTTGTTTCAAAAGTTTTTTTTGACATGAATCACAACCGGCAGGGCCGATTACCAAAATAAAAAAGGTCAATGTTGAGTAAAGAAAAGTAAGACAATGCTAATGCTAGAGATATGGTAGCTCCATCTGGTTAGAAATGGAGGAATAATTATGGATTTTATCAGAGTAAGATAAAGTCTTTTCAATCATTAGTCTCGGAAATATCATCAGATATGATCGATGATGTGGGGAAATTGTGAAAGAAAAGAAGTACTACTTTGGGCTTCCAGTTGTAAGATGAATAGTTAAATCAATTATTACCCAGTGAAAATCACTATCATTTATCATTTCAACTGCACAAAAAAAATCATATACACTCTTTGCAACCTTATTCTCCAACCTATTAAATTACAAGAGTTGTGTGACAATTTGATGGTCTGAAAAGACTCTTACACATGCTAAACAACAAAAAGAACCAGTAAGGCTGATATTTAACAGTGAGGGTAAAAAAAAAAAAGCCTTTTCTTTTCAGGAATAAGACTTAGTGAGGTCAGATTAAACTAATGTGAAGAGGTTTGTTGATCTCTTTATGAAAATTGATGCTCTACATCTATCAGATTTTAGAGGAATGAGACCTAAGTCAAAAGGGGACTTTGATATTGCATATTCTGCAGTAATGGGCATCAGCTTGGATGCCTATTTGCAGAAATTAATAGTTTTCAAGCCAGGGGTTTGGCTGTGCTAATTTTAAGGCAGAAAATCATAAATCAGTCGCTTAAGAAATTTTTAGCTCTGCCTGGAAGCTCAAACACAGTTAAGGAACAGGACAATATTTCACCTGATCACTCCTCATATTGTTTTCCCATGAAATTTGGACAAAACTTTCAAAAAACTTTATTGGTAATTTTATAGTTGCAAAAAGGTATAGACACAAGTTGCATATAGCATAAGCTAGTTGAGGCAAGTTGTGTGGAGAGAACAAAAGATTGATAATTTATACCAGTAGTAAGCTTCTGGTACTAATGACATTCTCTTGAATGCCAGCTTGCCACAGCAAATGTCACACCTATCCTTTCTGTCAATAGTACTGACCATATGTAGTGGGGTCACTTCACATCTCCCTAAACAGCAGAGAACACAATAGTTAATTCCAATCATCAGTCTCAATTAAGAAATAAAAATTGAAGGATCAAGACTTATCTGGCAAAGAGAAATACAAGTCAAACTGGTTTGAAGACATTTTAACCCGAAATTCGTTTTCAAATATGACAGAAATACTGTAGTTCACATTCTAAAGAAAGAGAGTTCCAGCCCCTTGAGTAATTATTCATTTATTGTATCGCTCACCTCATGTTTTAAGAACCAGAGAAAGTTAGATAATTTTAATCTGCGAGTTTTAGAGTACACTTCGACTCAAAATTCATTTCGTATGGCAGAAGTATTCTATTGAAATAAACAAGACAGAATGAAGCTGACGCCATCCGTTTCGAATAACACATGAACATGAAGAAAACGGCACCAGTTTAAACTCATGAGACAAAGCCCACGGATTTTTTGGAGGTAAATGAACTGGTTAGACCGAAGGCTAAATAAATAAACAATGAACTGACAGTGGTGAGAGATTTGGGGGCCATGTGATAAAACAAGTTCTACCGAAGTTTATCCTCTAGTTAGCCCTTCAAGCCCAAAAGGGCAATCAGAAAAATTCTCACCAAAACACAGCAAAAAAATTAGATAAAACCGCAGATGATCGAGGCAAGACTATAAACGTTGTTAAGACGCATGCCTACGTACCAAGTACAACAGACTTGGAGAGCAAAATGGCCAAAGACAGTTGTGAGCCATGACTTTGAAAATCCACCTCAACCTCCCAAAAAACGAATTCGCCGAAGGTTATAGAAAGAGCAACTCAATCCTGAAGCTGGAAGATTTTTTTTAAGCCTTGTGTCCAATGGGAAAACAAAGAGAAAGAAGATAAGATGTTATTTGAAGTGATTTGAAGCTTGGGGGCCACCTCGAACTTAACGTAATTTTATTTCAAAGTTGAAGTAAAATAAGATCCAATTGTAAACTACCTTCTATTATCGTAACGAATATCTCACGATCGCCTCCACACATCACTTCGTGATTTATAGAAGTAAGACATCAACATCTTAAGACTAACCTTCAAGGTTTGTAGTCTCATGTGCACATCTTGATCGTCAGCAAATCAAATCTCAAACTTCAAGTTTTCGACTTTTTTTCGCGTTTTGTTCGCACTTTGATCATTAAAATATCCTCATCCGAAGAGCCAGCAAACTCCACAAGTATCCAAAGAGTTAGAAATGGTAGTAAACTTGTCATACTCTTCCATCCCTCTCCAAAAAATATCACAGAAAGGTGTCGATCGCTCAGTTGAAAACCCGCAAAAGCGCGCTGAAAATATCAAAATGGCGCCGAACGCGCCGAACAAATTTTCTTGGCGCATGCGCAACAAAATGCCCCTCTGCTAGCGCTTGCACGACAGCTGGTGCGGTAGGTACCAAGCTCTGAATCTTAGACAAAATCGAAGTTGCCATGAGCCACTACAGTTCGAAAATAAATTATCGAGGGGCAACATCCATTCAACCACAAATATGGAAGGCTGGAGTGATGGAGCAGATGAGTTAATTCTGGATCAAAACAACAACTCAGAAATGGCTTTCAGCCATTTCCCTCGTTTGAAATAGAATTACATTTAACGCTTTCCTTTCGAAAGTTATTACAAAGATTTTAATACTCTTCATGAGCTCCTTCGACCTCAACTCTTCTATGACTAGGATAATTTTTTTTTATCGTTTTTTATTCTAGTACTAAAGAAGTGTTCTTACATTCGCTTCCAAAGCGATGGCTGGTCCAGGCCGCAATAATTTCCTCAAAATCGCTTGCAAGCTAAGAGAGAAGCGAAACTTGATATCTTCTTGAAAATCAGCGCACAGACGGCGCACATCCACTCCCAAGTTCGCGTGGAAATCAAGACTACAATAAATAAACAAGATAAAGAATTTAGTAACAAGAAAAACGGATATTTACTCGTTTCCCCTCTTGGGTGTCTGCTTCCTGGTTTCCTCGAGCCAATAGTTTTGATGTCTTACTATACCGAGTCATTAGATCTTAACCCTTGATCAGCATCTAATTTCTCCTTGCAATATCACCCCAGACTCACACATCCAGGTTACGAGAATGAAGGAGATGAACGCCAACTAATGAAGCTCATGATTGTTTAACAAACTCTCTTTGTCAACACATTAGGAAATGTGTGGAGAACAGTATCGAGAATATGCATACTAATGTAAGAGTTGAACCCTCTAACCCCTAAGAGTGATTAACAACTATTTTCTCCTGTCAGTATCACCCCTAAAACAAACATTGAGGTTATGAGAATAAAGGAAATGATCACCAACTAAAGAAGCTCTTGATTGTTAAACAAATTCTCCTTGTCAGCAGCATAGGATATGTATAGAGAACAGTATGGAGAAAATGAATACTGATGTTAGGGTGTAAAGGGTTAATGGGTTAGAGAACACAATACTCACGCTGGAGTGCTGGGCTCAAGAGATACCCCTAGTGTTTCAGGAGGAAGAAGACTACGAAAGCGGTCTAGGAAAAAAGAAAATATGGCCATTAGTTATCATTTGGGGGGAGGGGGAGGGGGTGGGGGTTGGAGGATGTTAGTCGTGTTACTGGTGTTTCAGGCAGAAGACTACGATGGTGATCTGGAAGAAAAGAAAAATATATTTATAACTACTTAAAGGACCGGTCACTAGTTTTCATCTGAGGGGGAGTGGGTGGGGGTCGAAAGATGTCGGTCTTGTCACGATAAAATATACTAGATCCCCTCATAAGGCCCTATAATAGTCTTATGATTCTCCCCCCTTCCCCCCCCCCTCGTTGGTAGGAAATTGGTGTTGACAGTCAATTCGCAGGATGGGGGTGGGGTGGGGTGGGGAGAGGAAGAAAGGCTCGTAGGCTTTTGAAAAAACTGTTTCCCCTCGAATGGCACTTCTGATTGGTGCGGCGTGATGACATTGACAGGTTTGACAAGTAGCTATCAAAATCCTTGTGCAAAACAATGCGAGTGTGACTTATGATCAGAAAGATCACAGTGGCGGAAGGCGTGGAAGGTTTTAGTTAGACCAGTTCTGTAACCTGATGCGAGGTGTTTTTAAAGGTACTTCTCCAGATAATTCCGGCAATTCACTATATACTCATTCAAGAATTTTTTGGCTTACGTACACGTGCAGAATCACACATCATTCATGCTACATAGAGTAGTTCCTGAACACTGACCTGCAATGTCTTTTTGTGCCTTAAGAATCACTTCAGTTTGAACATTTAAACAAGCCGTCATATTCCAACCCAAGCCCCTCGCGAGGTGATCACACAGCTCCTATTGACATAATGAGTGATAAAGTGTTTAATTTCAGATTATTCTTCCACTGCAGCTGTTGGTCGGCAGTGAAACTGTCTACACATGGAATTTTCACCTTTTTGTATGTCCTAAGGAATGCAGGATGAGGATGGAATGGATGATTGAACTCATTCACCAGCAAGCCCACTCGACCAATCTCTTCTGTCATAGCCTCAGTCACCTAAAGAAAGGAAAACATTTTGTTGAGTAAGCAACATCAGACTTTCTCACTGGCCGAAGGGAACAAATCTTCTGATGTATTGCCGAAAAAATTTGTCCCATGTAAAAGCTGGACAAAATCGACCGAATAAACAAAACCGTAATAAACGTGTCGATCGTTTGTCGTAAAAGTTAGGACCAGCGCGTTATTGAACCGAAATCAGTAACTAGAAGGGCACAAATTGCCTTTTGATGCAATACTCAAGGATTCTAAAATTTTAAAACAACTTAGAATAAGTCCTGGAAATTGGAGGTGGAATCCTTTGGCAACTATGCTGGCCGGTCTTGTGAACAGATCAGGCGCTGACGGAATCTGAAGGCTTTGAAATTTGACAAAATTTGTCCTTTGATTTTTTCGGGACAATTCTAGTTTTGTGCGCTTGTGCGGAAAGGCCCAAAGAGTAAAAAATGGATACAAACACGGGATCGGGAAAATATGAAGAACTGCTGTCAGGGTGGGGGACGGGTAGCATGGGATAGACTGACTTCCCATTTCAGGGGGCAGTAGCAATACTCTACGTGTAGAAATTGCAAAAAGCTCTGACAGTTTAGTTCTTTAAGATTGTGTTCTGATTTGTGTTCATCCTTACTACTTTATCATACTTATTACAAATTAGGTGCATGTCTGTGTGTACCCAGGCACTACAGTAGTAAAATTAGGGCAAACTCTTGATAAGATTTTACCACTCACTTCAAAGTAAATTTGATTTACATCAAAGGCACCTGACAAGCATCTAAGAAGCATGTCAAAAAAAGTCATCCATTTGATTACATACTTCTTAATCTATTCTGGACCCTTACATTGAGAAAAACTTGAAATTACTGAGATTCAAGACTGAATAAATCATAAGTTTTGAACTTATGCCCCCCTAAAGAGTATGAGAGTAATTATTTTATTACCTGACCCTCAACTTTAGAAGTGATCTCCTTGATCAGGCATTTTATCTCACGTGTACTGATTTCAAGCTGTTCCTTCACAAACTTCAGTCTATTCTCTTGCTCTTTCTTGGCTTTCTCCTGTGTGGATCTGAGCAAAATAGACCATATGAACTCAGCAAAACCGACAATTAAGTAAAATCACCTTCATAAAGCAAAATGAAAAAAATTATCTGTCTCTTTCTCACCTTTGCTGAGAGGTAGAACCCACTCTTTGTTCCATAAGAATCTTTAATTTCTTTGCAATTTTCAATCCACTCACTGCATGAGATTCAAACTTGGTTTTTATGGCTGACTTAGAAATACACTCCTATAAAATCAAGCATGTAAAATTTCCTTTGCAAAGTCAGAATAATTAATTGACACAAACTCTAAACAAGCAAATGTGTTTAACTTTAAATGGAAAAAGTACATGTGCAAATACATCATGACTCTGTGGTAGCAATCTTTGATTAGTTCTTACCAATGATCTAACACACAACAGACCCAGGGATTTCAGTAACCTTTTCCATGGGCAGCTGCCAATGGTGTTTAAGGTGGCAGGGTCAGAAGGCCCCTCTACATGCTAAATAGATGGCAGTAAAAGGTCTAACAGGTGGTAAATTACTTGTAACTAGCTTTAATGTGTGAAGCTACCATTAGCAATTTTGTACTCCTTCAATAACAATGCCATTAAATTCCACTTTGCAATCATCAAAATATTTCTGCCACCTTTTGGTTTGTAAGTGATCTGCTAACAGACAACAGGCTATCTGAAAACTATGCTGGATTGTAAGCCAGAGCAGTTGCTAAAATACCTCCAGTTTGTGTTCGAAGTTCTCAAACTCCAACTGCCGAGCAAAAAATCCTTCATCATGAATGGCACCACCTGAAAAACAACCTGGTAATGCAATGCTAGTTACTTGATTTAATATAAAAATCTTACTTGTTAACAATTCATGCTGTTTCAAGAGAATGCACATTTTGATCAGCCACAAACCTCCTTGAGGCATTCCTTGGTGTTTCTGCATTCTGGTCATTAAGGTCTAGGTAAAACAGAAACATGAAAAGAAAGTGGGGTTCAAATAAATAGATCAATTAAGAGGTGTGTCCTGTTTTATATTTCTCTTTGCATAGCAGTAACAAAAATTTGAAGACTTTTTCAAAGTTATTTGCAATTGGTCCTTGTAAACTGCGACATAAAATAACCAGCAGCTTACCTCTTTAGCCGAGACAAAAAACACTCTGTCTTCTGCCTTTCCTTTGTCTACACACTTGAGTTCATCAACAAGAAAACTGATGCTTCTACTGAGATGCTGATTTTTCACCTAAAGGAAACAGGAAAAAAAAAATTAAAAAAATAACACTTTACCACCATCATCTGATAGTTAGGGGGGAGGGGGGAGGGGGGAGACAGGTTGTTTTCCAGGGGAGGTGGGGGAGGTGGGGAGGTGGGGAGGTGGGATAAATGGCTTGTTATCCCACCCATGATCATACCTTAATCCTTCCCCTCTAACTAAGCCCCCCCTCCTTCCTCTCTCCCCCCCCCCCCACTATGAATCATCAGCAATTTTTTTCCAGCAACAATTTCCTTTGAAGAGAGCATCTAAAATGAAAGGCAACTCCATGTTGTGTTTTGATTCAGTTTTTGACATCTTTTGATTTCAAATTTGATTGGGTATCATGGACAAATAGGTGCTTACTAACCAGCTCCATCTTGTCTGGTTCTGATGCAGATGCGTCCCATCTGTTATGTACAATGAAGATGTTTGGTTTTGAAAGATGCTGATTCACTTTGTGAAAAAATTTTTTCTCCTGCAAATGACAAGGGTACCAATAGAGAAACTGTCCCACAAGCATAGGAAGGTTAAATCTATGAATGCTACCACAATGGACCTGTAACAAGTCACATTTTAAAGCAACTGAAATTTTGAAAAAAGTTCCATCAAATTTAAATTCTGTATGTGTTGTATCTTAAATTTACACATAGCACATGAATGGTCATGAACATACCGTAACGGTGAGTGCCGATTCAGCGTTAGCAACCAGGACAAACACATCAGCATCCAAACAGTGCTTATCAATCCAACCATCATAATCAGGGCTTACATCTGTACCAGGACTAAAATAACAATTTTCTGTGACTAATTACATGGCATTTTAAGGCTTCTTCTAGGTGTAGAAGACACAAGATATATCACAATAGAGCAATGCCTCATTAACCTGTTGTTTTAATTGGTTTCTTGTTTTTTTGTCTCTTTGTTTTTCTTAAACCTTCACACCCTAACATTAGTATGCACATTCTCTATACTGTCCTCTTTACATTCCCTTAGATGCAGACAAAGACAATTTGCCTGACAGTCAAGAGCTTCTATAACTGATGACAATTTCTTTTATTCTTGGGATCTAAATGCGTAATTGAGGGGTGAAAAGGTTAATTATACAGTACATTTTATCAATTTTAATTTGCTTACCTATCCACCAAAACAACATCCCCTGACAAGATTTTAAATCTGAGGTTAAAAAAAAAAATACAGTTTTAACAAAAATGAAACCATCACAAGTGATAACAATGTACAGGTAAAACTTTATTTATACAAACCCTCTGATCTAATGTGAAATGCATTATCTAGAACATGTGAACTGTGTTTAAGAAGTTTTTTATATCTTTTTAAGAAACAAGAGGCAGCCTATCCAAGAGCTTTTCAACACTACAAGTACATTTCCTTTGTTTATAAGACACTCATTGAAAAATCAATGACACAGCTTTATACTTTACTTTATATGTTTATTAAACAATTACTGAAGGAAGTTGAGCACGATAACTTGAATTATCAAAACCGAGGTCTGAGTCATCTACCAAAACTGAAGGCTGAGGCAGATTACAAAGACATGATGCTTAATAATTTATGATATCAAATGAATTAATTCAGTAATTGTTTCATTACAAATTTTAAAAAAAAATCTGGAAAAGAAGACACATATCTCTAGGTCTGTAAAAGTTTGAGAACACTTCATGGAGTAAGGGCTTAGACACTAGGCAGACTTTTAACTCCAAATAATAGATGCAATGTCTGCTGCAGATACTGGGTTATTATGTCAACTTCCTCTGCTTTTGTATAGTGATAGAATGTTCTTGACCAATCAGATCTCTCATAAGTCTAATGCATGATAACAGAATTAATTTGCACAACATTCTACCTTTAAAACCAATGAAAAAAGTTTGCAAGGTTGAATGGTAAATGCACTTTGATTGACAGGACAACAGTTACCTGTGAGTACATGTGAATGATACAATAGTTACAAAACAAAATCAAACCTGGACTTTGGCCAAACCACTTGAACAAGACTGCTAGGATCAAGCTTTTCTTTGGACAAGGCATCAGCAAGTTCATCTAATGACTGTTTTGATAACAAAAAGAAAAATATGTAATTATCATAGTTACTAACTATTCATTAACTAAGACAGTGCATATGTCAATTGGAGTACTATTTAATCTATTCATGAATATTTTTCTGCTTTTAGATAATTTAAGTACCAGTGATATTTTCTGAATGAAATGTAAAACCGAAATTAATTGTTAAAATCATGTAAACACCAGAGAAATACTGCTAGTTTAGAATTAAACAGAAGGGGTAATTGATTGAGGTTAAGGCCTTTATCTGCTGTTAGGCTATAAAAATTAAAAACAATTTATTAACTGTAAATCATATTTTAAACATAAAATGTTTGTAAGAAAAATATATATCCTTGTTAAGACTAGGTGACAGTTTGACAGAGAAAAATCATGTTTTCTCACTGACTACCCATCAGTCTTAAAATATGGATATTAAGAAAAGTTGATATACCAATCCCAGACTAATACCCTGTCCTGATACTTATAAACACCAGGTTTACCAGGCCAAGTTTGAAATAAATGAACCGGTTGCTCAATCAAGAAAATGTGGTACATATAATTATTAGGAGAGAGAATTGCAACAATTTTCAATTGAGAAAATGTGGTACTTGTAATTATAACAAAGGAGAAACTTACAATACTTTTTAGAAGGACATACCTTCACATTCCTCTTGTCATCACTCCCTGGAACCAAGATATATGGATCTGGTAAATCTGAACCATGTACACTGAGAAAACAATTTGTAGTATGGCCCAACCCTGTTGGTAAGATCTTATCTTGAAGCATGGCATTTATTGTAGTGCTCTTTCCATTGCTGGTTCTTCCAAAGAAGGCCATCTTTATCTGGTCCCTTGATAGCACCTCTGAGATGCGCGAAACCTGAGCCAGATAGCCTGACACCTGTATAAGAGAAATGCAGTAATCAGTTCTGACTTAATAAGAATTACTACATCAAGAAATTGACCGTGATAGTGCAGGGTAGCTTTGCAGTAATAGCAAAATAAATTGAAAAAAAAAGCATTAAAAAACAACGCCGACATCATGGAGCTTGAACGCGACATACAATCTTACCTTGCTTGAGAATTTCTTGATGTCTCGTTCATTTTCATCAGCTTTTCTGAACTCGGCTAAGAATTTTTCACAGTCTTCAAGATACTTCTTAAGGTCTCTGAATTTAGCGTTAACCTTCTCCTTCGCTTCTACGAAACTGTGCAGAAGATGCTCTTTGTCCACTCCGTCATCTTGTAAAGGCTCAGTTCGTTTGGACTGAGACGATAAATTGCTCATGTTCACCAGGAGATGTATGTTGCTGACTGCCTTGAACACGACAACCTAGTTTTACGGAGTTCAATGATATAACACATCTTCCTCCAGAAGTTCAGTGGGTAAATTGGAATAACTTAAGCTGAGCGTCCATGCCCTACTCCTACAAAAATCCTCCGAGCGTTCCTGGATGTGGAGACTGGTGACAGGGGTCGACCGCCATCATTTTTTCGTCCCTAATTTCGTCCTTTTTTAAACTTAATAGCAACATTTTTCAACGAGTTACTTTCTTTGACTTGTTACACCTTTCTTGTGTATTGTCGGAATGTTTGAAAATGGCGACCAACAGAAGGCGAGGATGTATTTCTGTTAAGAAATGAAGTTCTATGTGAAGATCTATGACCAGGTGCTACAGCACGCCACATTGAGCTTCATATCTGCTTCTCTTTGGCAGCTTCCACAACTTGAAAGTGAAAACAACACTGGGAGAGTAAATGGCTTACAGTGGCCATGACACAGACACAGAGAGAATAAAAGCGAAAAGTTCCAGTATAACCGTGTGACGACATCCTGTCCTCAAACCCAAACTAAGTCACAAAAACCATTTTGCATGTTTAAGACTTGCTTCAAAGGGCTATTCCGCTCCAAAATGAGCCTCTACCCAAACAGCATGTCAACTCTTCATCCAATTCGACTGTCTATACACAGTGCAGGTATACTCGTAACGATCATTCTCGTGCGTAGCATTGCAGTTGTGTCTTCCTTTGTAATTATGCCCTCACATCTAATAACCAATAGAATGCGGTTTTACTTCTTCCAATCAAAGTGCGTTGTGAACGTGTCTTCTGCGTGTCACTTCCCAACTAGGGGAGGGATGCAATGCAAAATTGTGAAACGATCGTTAAGTTTTCCGCGCTCGAAGTTTGAGAATTTCATGGGCTATTCTTGTTTCATGGGCTATCCTTGATGCCTTTTGGGACACATCGGATTGGTGAAAGATTAATATTCTTGTTGCGTTTTTAAGCGCGAAGTATTAGTGAAATTTTCTTCGTTGGAAAGCTTACGAAGACGAGAATTTGACATTGCCTCGTAGCTCCCCTTATTGGTTTGGAGTGCGCTGGTTATCGAAGTTGTGCTTTTTTGTCGGAATTAGTAAAGTAAGGTAAGGTTTCGGTTGCATTTTATGCTAGTATTTTGTTACATTTAAATATTACAACCATTCTTCAAAGATCGCGTTCAAGTTTTGGGCTAAATACTGTAGATTTCATGTGACTGCATGATGAAGCGTGCGAGTAACTACTAACCTGGATTCATTGAATCCTTCAATATCGAGGGCTGAATTAAACTATGGATAAAACTAAACCACAGCATACCTATGCTAAACCCTCGGCCTATTTGTATGAATATTACTATTTTTTCTGGTGTTCACCCAATAGATTCAATCCACTCACAGACAAAGATGGCACCTGTGTATTTTACCATTACTCCTTGGCTAAGCCACTTGTAGAAAGCAATTTCTCACAAAAAAACAACATTATGTATGCAAGGTTTAAATTTTTCAGACCTTTACTGCTTGTTTTTATCAGTGGTTCCAGTATTTTCTTGCACAAAGAGTTCTGGTTGAATGTATCAGTTGCCATGTTTTTTGGTATGGTGGTTTACAGTAATTGTTGTATGAAGTAACCTTTCGCCAATATTAATTTTGTCAACTTGTCACTGACAAAGAGCTAGTTCATGATTAGACATTGATCGTTTCATTGATTGCCATGCTCTACATTTATCATTGAAGTACTAATTAACTCCTCTGCCATCAGTGGTTGCATTAAAGATACTGTGTTAGAAATCACAGCACTGTACCCCAAAATCTAATGTCGTCCTTAGCACAATTTCATTTTTTGAGCAAGGCAAAGGTAAAAATCAAACAAGACCACACAGACATCATCACAGAGACAACATTGCTATGTATAATGTTTATATAGTTAGTTACGTAAAAGGTACTCTATTCATTAATTCAGTGTCAATATTCTCCCTGGTAGCAGCTATAATATTTAGCCAACTTGGGATATAGTGGCCTAAAATGGACCCTTTTGGACATCTGAACTTTTAAATTTCCAGGGGAAGGTTCTCCAGACTTTGCCATCCAAGTGGGAATAAATGGCTGCCACACTTTCATTTTGGTCCCTCCCAGCTTCTCAAATGTTGTCCCTCCTTTCCACAATCTTACCAAAGCTCCCATGTGTGTAGTAATAAAAACAGCAAAGTGAAGTGTGCTATCTCAACAAGAGGTGATAATCATGCACACTCTTAAGTGAGTCATTCTAGCAGATGTTTGGTGAGGTATTGTATTCTGTGCTCAAAATCTAGTTCACGTAGACCTGGGAAAAAAGAATGGGGTGTAGCAGTCATTCATGTTGGTTAATTGCTCCAAGCCCTAATTCGATACCACTGTTCATTTGGCTATCTTTCTTGCCAATACTGTTTTGTTATTTGGGTTTTCTTGAAGACACTTCCCATTGAGAAAAAGCATTATATGTGTTTACAAATTAGGAGCAAAGAAAAGTGAAAAAAATAGTAGAGTAACAGGGTGGTATCAAAGACAGTGGTACAATTTTTTTTGCAGGGGGGTGGTTTTTTATTTTTGAATCAAAGTTTTAGCCTAAGTATGTCTTAGTTTCTACACTTGTTGTTTAGTCTTGTGATTTCTTGCTTTAAGAAGTGAGGTAAAATTGTTTGAATTTGTTTTTTCATTACAGCCACTTGAGTCTGTAAATGGAAAGAAAACACTGAAAAATGATAGTAAGGAATACATTGCTTGCACTATAAAGTATTGAAAGTAATTTGCAACTCTCCATATTTGTTATTTGTAATTGACATGCTTTGCACAGGTGGTGTGGGGTTAGTGGAGAAGTTAACTGTATTTCAAAAATTAAATCACTTTAAATTGCAGTGAAAGCTACATGTATTACTTTTATAGTTATAAAAGTATCAAAGGTAACTTCTCTGAGAACCTTCCCCAGTGTCTGTGATATAGAAGAGTCCACTAAATATAGGTTCATTTATTAGGAAATGTGGGAAGAATAGTATGCAACTGATAATACAAGTAAGTACTGGAAAAGAATATTTATTCCTTGCTAGTAATCTCAGAACAGCTGTGTGGAGCTGGAAATTAACAGTGCTGGAATACAACAGTAAATCCTGCTGAGAAACTGAGAACAGCTGTGTGGGGCTGGAAATTAACAGTGCTGGAATATGACAGTTAACTCCTGCTGAGAAACTGAGAACAGCTGAGAGGGGCTGGAAAATAACGGTGCTGGAATACAACAGTTATCCACTACTGAAATTCAGAAACAGGAAACTTTTAAATACTTTTGTGCAACAATATACTGAGCATGCAGTAATATCTTCCATTGCCTCAATTCCAGTTACTTGTAGAAAGGTCATCTCTGAACCATTAAAAAGGATCTGTTTTACCAGTTATGAAAGGAAAAAAATCTTAATCCTTTAACCCCTAAGAGTGACCAGCTTCTAATTTCTTCTCACAGTATCACCCCTGAATCAAACATTGAGTTCATGAGAATAAAGGAAATGACCCACAACTTATAAAGCTCTTGATTTTTATAAAAAATTCTCTTTGTCAGGGCTTCAGGAAATGTATAAAGAACAGTATGGAGAATATGCATACTGATGTTAGGGTGTAAAGGGTTAATCAATAAATGTATGTTAAAAGTAGCAATCCTATATAACCATTACTTATTCACAAATGTACTATATTTTATTTAGCAGATTGTAGCTTCAATGGATGCCAGAAATATTTTATGAAAATCTGGCAGATACAGTTTTGTATTGTACTCCAGGATATACATCTTTCTCAAAAGATGGTGTTTCTTCAGAGAAGAATGAAAACTTAAATGCATTCTTTAATCAGTATAAAAGACGATTTTTTGAATGACGTAGCCAGAAAAGACCCGTCTACACACAAAAACTTGACCAAGAAGGTAAAATTGTCCGTGACAAAAATGGCATCCTTGTTGTTTTGCTCAACAGTTATGTTCAAGGAGAGCCTAAGACTACAAAGCAACTTCTCTACAGAGAGGCTATAGATGGTGTATTAAGCAGTTTACACTACATTAAAGGTGTCCTTGGAGAGGATACTTGCCTTCTTGGAGGGGTGAATGCCTTGAGTAGGCTATTCAATCAAAAATATGTATTTAAGGGTATTGTCAACCTTATTAGAGCCTTCTTGGCTTTATGTTCAACATGTCAGATGAACAACCCCTTGCCAACGCGAGTGCTTCCCCCTCCTTTCCCCATTGGATCTTTTGGCCCCCATTCTCATTTATATTTTTATTCCAGTTCGGTGTCACAAGTGTAGAGGGCTTGGCCATGTACATGCCGAATGCCCGACGAGACGCGGCCTGGTTGTGCCCCACCAAGAAAAGCAAGCGGCAGATCAAGCAAAAGAAGTGATAGATTTAGATTTCACTAATAAGTTTAGTGAGTTATCTTACATTGCCAAGAGGTTTATTTTATACTTTAACATTAATAATCAATTAAATAAAAACGTACAAGTGATTTATCAGTATTATAAATTAAATGTATATTGTTTTTTTTTTTGTTTTTTTTTTGTTTTTTTTGTTTTTTTTTTTTTTTATTTTTTACACGTGAGCTTAATGATCTTGTTTAGGACAGCCATATTAGTATGTCAATGTGATCGGAAGACATTAAATATTTGGAAGAGAAACTTTGATTGGCCACTGTATCACATTACGTCAGAGGACATATCTGCAATGAGAGGACATAAGTGCAACGGTACACTCGTGTTCCTGCCTGGTAGTTAGTGACACGCCGTTCACCAAAACCACCTATGTCGAGAGGGACTGAGATTGAATGGTGGACACTTCATGACATGTTACACTAACCGAAAATTAGGAAGCTACGAAAACAGCATGTAAACTCTTCATCCAACTAGACCCTGTGAGCAGGGTAACTGGGATACCTGGATGGTACTGGATCCTTGAAATCAAGTGTAGTGATACTACGGGTGTAGGACTAGTATACTGAAATAGTGAGCTCAAGTCTGGCCAGGGGCATACACCTATTTCAAAACATAAGCATGCTATGCTTGCAAGAATTATTTTTTGTAGGGTGGGTGGATTACTTGAAACGTTGTAAGTGGTCTACATTCTTACAAAAGAAGAGAAGAATATTAACGCGGAAAAGAACGAAAACGTCGAATTACCTCATACGCAGGTATTTTTTGGTAGATTATGTGTGTTGTGCAGATAAATGTAACCAAAAATAAACTGTATTGGTGCCACGGATACCTGTTAGTGCAAAATGCAGACTGCAGACCGGATACAAAATATAGACTGCAGTGTGCAGAGTGGGTACAAAATGCAGACTAAGAATCTGAAGAGTTTTTACGTCTGGTATATAATAACATGTCATCTTACAGCTTACCGGGCGTCACGCAATCGCTTTTCCGCGATCAGCCTTCACGATTATTTGTACTATTGTGGAATATTCCTAGCCCATATCTTAATGAAAATCGATCGTAATATAATTTCAAGCCTTCAATATAGTCTTCTTACTTTGCGCGCGAGTTGGCTGGTGTGATGTCTCTATAGATTTTACCAACGCAATAAAAGTAGGTGACGTGACTCAGTGATGGTAAAGCAAGCTTAAAACGGCAGAAATCGCCAGAAACTACAACGGATACACAGGGAATGAGTAAGTTTTATTGATTTTACGAGAAAAATGTTCATATTTCGAAATATT